TTTTTATTCTCAAGAAAATACAAGGAGTAGAATTTCTTAGTCATGTACTGGTGCATGTTTAACTTTATAAGAGACTTGTTATTGCTCCACATCCTGACCCAAATTTGTTATTGTCAGATTTTTTTTATTTTAGGTGTTCCAGGGGGTTTGAATTGGTACTGCATTGTGATTTTAATTTGCATTTCCCTGATGACTAATAGTGATAAACATCCTTTCATATAACATTTACCATTCATTTATCTTCTTGTTTGAAATATCTGTTCAAGTCTTATGCCCATTTTAATTGGATCGTTTTTCTGTTTATTATTGATTCATATTGTTGACTTATAGTAATATTTTATGAATTGATCTCTTTATTATTATGAAATGTTTCTTTTTATTCGTGGCAGTACTCCTCATCATGAAATCTAATTTGTCTGATATTATGGCCACTTATACTTACTGTATACCTGATTATTTTTTCATATGTTTATTTTCAATTTATCTGTGTATTTGCATTTAAAGGTCATTTCTTGAGCCTAAAAGTAATAAGCACCTTGAACTCAGGTCTTTTTATCTAAATATGATTCTCCAGTAAAATTTATCATGGTTCTCTGGAGAAGTGGCTGATTGTTGAGCAGGGATAAGGAAAGTATATGCTGAACATGGAACACTTTGTGATGCCAAAAAGTAAGGAAGTACACAAAAAAATTGAGGAGTTGGGCCGGGCGCGGTGGCTCAAGCCTGTAATCCCAGCACTTTGAGAGGCCGAGGCGGGTGGATCACAAAGTCAAGAGATCGAGACCATCCTGGTCAACATGGTGAAACCCCGTCTCTACTAAAAATACAAAAAATTAGCTGGGTATGGTGGTGCGTGCCTGTAATCCCAGCTACTCAGGAGGCTGAGGCAGGAGAATTGCCTGAACCCAGGAGGCGGAGGTTGCGGTGAGCCGAGATCACGCCATTGCACTCCAGCCTGGGTAACAAGAGCGAAACTCCGTCTCAAAAAAAAAAAAAAAAAAAATTGAGGAGTTGTCGGAAATGCACAAAAACTAACATGAAGTGATTCTCAATGACCAGGTCTGGGACAATTTGAATAAAAAAATAAGTAACAGTAATCAATTATATTTTATAATATAAATATCAGTAAGTTTGTGATGATAAAAATAAGTGGCAGAATGTATAAATGGGAGGAAGGAGGAAATTATTTCAGCAGAGTTATAATTAATTAATATGAAAGAATAATGGAAATGGTAGAAATAGAAAGTCAGCATTTGGCAAGCACCACAGTAATAATTGTTGCAGGTAAGAATCATCCGTGGATGCTAAAGTTTGTGAGCAGAAGTATGATGAGAAATGGGCTATTTACATAAGCTCAAAGGATTTTCCCACAAGATACTGTTAATTACAAAGGGGAAAATATTGAGAAACCTGGAAGACAGCACCTTAACCAAATGATTGACGTTAATACCATTAGTGATGCAATACATCAGTATCATATGCCTCCTGATATGATGCACTGAGAAGGGCACAGCCATCACCTTTATGGTATTCTTGCAAAAAATGCATAATCTAAATTCAACCATGAAGAACTATTACAAGAATATTCTATAACTACTAAGTACTCCTAAAAAATGTCAAGATTATGAAGGACAAAGAAAGACTAAAGTACTTTCCAGATTAAAAGAAACTTAAAGAGACAGGACTACTAAATGCAATATGTGAATCTGAATTGGGCCCTGGACTAAAATTAGTCAGACATTTGGTGAATTTTGAATCAAGTCTGTAGAGTAGTTAATAGTACTTCTGAGTTTGATCATTAAAATATGGATATTTAAGATGTTAACTTTTAGGAGATCCGGATGAAAAGTACATGAGGATTCTTCATACTATTTTACAATTTTTTAAAAATCTGAAATTATTTTAAAATGAGAAGTTGGCCAGGCACAGTGGCTCATACCTGTAATCCTAGCACTTTGAGACACCAAGGCAGGAGGGTTGCTTGAGCTCAGGAGTTTGAGACTATCCTGGGTAAGGTGGCAAAACTCTGTCTCTTTAAAAAAAAAAAAAAAGTCAAAAAAGTGAAAAAGATGAAAAATATTTAATAAAATATTTTTAAATAATAATGATAGGTGTCTTTTATAGGCACCATATAGTTAGGTTTTGCATTTTTCTTCAGCCTGACAATCTCTGTCTTTAATTGGACCATTTAGTTTGTCATAATTTATATGGCTGGATTTAGTACTCAGAATGTGCAATTTATTTCTTTTCATCTCATCTGTTTCTTTGTTTCTCTTTTCCTGCCTTATTTTGGGTTAGTCAAATATTTGCAGTATTCCATTTTAACTCTTCTTAGGGCTTCTTAGTTCTTCAGTCAATTAATGATGAACTTCTATTCATCATACCACTTTATATAAAACGTAAGCCTTGCAACAATGTAGATGTGATTATTCCACCTATCTTTTGCACAGTGTTGTCATTTGCATTACATCTGCATTTTTAAACCCATAGTGTAGCAATTTAATTTTTTCTGTATATAACAATTTGTTCTTTAAGAGATTGAGAAGGTAGTTAAAAAAAAAACAACTTTACCCACATATTTACCATTTTGCTCTTTATTACTCGTATCTTTAGATCTGAATTTCTATCTGATGCCACTTATCCTCAGCCTGAAGAACTCCTATAGCATATTCTGTAGTGCCAACAATTCGTCTGCTGATGACAAATTATCTCAACTTTATCCAAGAGTATGTTTATTTTTCTTTTCTTGTTGATGGATAATTTTTCCTAGATACAGAATTCTTGGTACTTTTTTTCTTTCAGCACTTACAGATATCATTCAGTTTTCTTCTGGCTTCCATTGTTTTTGATGAGAAGTCAACCATTATTTCTATTTTTATTCTCCTGTGTGTAATGTATTGTTTTTATTAGGCTGCTTTCAAGATTTTCTGTTTTTTTGTTTTCAGCATTTAATAATGATATGTCTACCCATGTTTTCTTTAAATTTATCCTGCTTCAGTTCACTGACTTTATTGATTGTCTCAGCTTGTGTTTTTGTAAATGTGTGAATATTTTGGCTGTTTTTTTCCCCAGATACTTTTCTGCCCTATTACCCATCCTCCTTTATGGAACACTAGTTATACATATGTCAGACTGCTTGAAATTTTTTCTCAAGTTCTCTTTATTTTTCATATAAATAAATTCTGTTTCTGTATCTTCAAGTTCATGTTACTTTTCTCCAGTCATCTTTAATCACCTTTTAAACCCATACACTGAATTTTTTTATTTCATATATTTCATTTTATAAATTTCATTTCTAAAATGTACATTTGGCCAGGTGTGGTGTCTGACACCTGATGTGATGCACTGAGAAAGGCACAAGCATTTCTCAGTGCATCATATCAGGAGTTAGCCACCAGGTGGCTATCTCCTCTGGGAGGCATTTTGGTAGGCCAAGGTGGGTAGAACACTTGAGGTCAGGAGTTCAAGACCAGACTGGTCAACATGGTGAAACCCCATCTCTACTAAAAATACAAAAAAAAAAAAAAAAAACAGCCAGGCATGGTGGTGCATGCCTGTAATCCCAGCTACTTGGGAGGCTGCGATGGGAGAATCACTTGAACCCTGGAGGTGGAAGTTGCAATGAGCTGTGATTGCACTTCTATACTCTCCAGCCTGGGCAACAGAGCAAGACTCTGTCTCAAAAATAAAATGAAATAAAATAAAATACACATTTGATTCATTTTTAGTTTCCATTTCACTGCAGAGATTACCCATCTTTTCATTCATTATGGCCTTATTTTTCTTTTAAGTCTTGTGAATATCTTTATAATAGCTGCTTTATTTTCCCTGTCTTCTTATTCCACAATCTGGGTCATCTTGTCATTGGTTTCTATTAATTACTTTTTCTCTTGATACTGGATCATTATTTTATTTCTTGGCATGTCTAGTAATTCTTTTTATTGTAGGCTGGACAATGAATATAGTAACTAATAGAGACAATGAATTTTATTATATTTCCCTGGGGAGTGTTGATTTTTTTTTTTTTTTTTTTTGAGATGGAGTCTCACTCTGTCGCTTAGGCTGGAGTGCAGTGTCACGGTCTCAGTACACTGCATCTTCCATCTCCTGGATTCAAGCGATTCTTCTGACTCAGCCTCCTAAGTAGCTGGGATTACAGGCACATGCCACCATGCCCAGCTAATTTTTGTATTTTTAGTAGAGATGGGATTTCACCATGTTGGCCAGGCTGGTCTCAAACACCTGATCTCAGGTGATCTGCTTGCCTCGGCCTCCCAAAATGCTGGGATTACAGGTGTGAGCCACCATGCCCAGTCGAGAGTATTGATTTTTGTTCCAGCTAGTTAACATAGTTGAACTCCAAATTCTGCTTCCCTTTTGGTGAACATCAGCAGAAACCAGTGCTCAGCCCTCTCAGTCTTCTAGCTGCTGCCTTTCACTTGTTTGGTTCAGGATTAAACAGGGATTTGGGTAAGAGTTTATATTTAGATTTGGAGAAACTCTGGTGGCTTCTCTTTTTCTGGGATTTTTCTTTTCTTCTTCTAGATATGTTGTTAGCCCCGAACTAGGCCTTCTGACTTCTCAAGCCCATAATAGTGCAGATTTCAGCTTAAGTTCTAGGCTGTCTGCATTATGTGGACTGTGGAATACTGCTAGAGGAAAACCCATATAAATACTGAATCCCACCTAGTGTAGTTTCTTCTTTGAAGGATTGACTTCCCTCCAGTTTCTGCTTGTTTTGGGTCATTCTGTTGTACTTTCAAATCACTGTTTTGGTATTTTGTCACAGAATATAATTGTTATCCGCAGAAGAATTAATCTAAAATATTGTACTCTGCTATTACCAGAAGTTGTACCACATTTTATTATCCAGTAATGCTGCATAGGATTGAATTAAAAAAAAAATCTACGTTTTCTGTGAATGATGGCACTGTCTCATCAAAACCTTCTAAAGAAATTGAGCGTATTACTAATTTTATTTTTTCTTCTTTCTCTTACAGACAAGAGATGATTTCCTAGGTCAAGTGGATGTTCCACTTTATCCATTACCGGTTGGTATAGGTGTCCATGAGTTTCCTTTTGTGTTTATTTTTTTTAATTTAATAAATACTTACATATATACAATATAGTTAGTGTAAATAATTGACTTATCAGATGTATACTACTTTTATATTTTATGCATACTGTTTTCTAAAAACTCAATTCAATTTTCTGTTTCCATTTTCTTTTAAAGATTCTCATACATGAATCTCAGTGAGAAATAAATAATTTCTGATATTTGTTGACATTGTGGAAAGCATTTTGTAAAAAAGATTAGTTTGAAAATATTCTGCTGAATAACTAGAGTGAGGAGTGCCTAAGCTCACAGAAGAAAATTAAGACAGTTTACAACAATAGAAACATGAAACACTAAGAATGAGAACTAGGCGTATAGCAAGGAGGAGAACAGATTCAGGAAACATTGTAAAATAGAACATTATTGAATCACATGGCTGACATGGAGGCTTAAGAAAATAAGCAAAAAGTAAAGATAGTACAAGTTGAACTGGGAAGATAAGGGTGGCATCTCATGTGGAAAAGTAAGGAAGAAAGTCATTTTGTTTTGAAATGTTAAAAAAATATTTATTTTTGGACATACTGAGTTTTGATAGGAAACAAAGTTTAAAGTGGACTGCTGACAGAGAGATAAAATCAATTATATAGGGAAAAGGAAATAGAAGGATTGAGAGTTATCACTGTGCAGGTTAACAGCAGAATCTCTGAGAATAAAGGGCTTTCCTTATAAAAGACATGAGAATGGAGGGCCATCCATTGACCCTCAGTCAACATGAGTGGATCAGAAAATAAAAAGAAGGCAGACAAGGGGAAACAGGAAAAGAACCAAATAAAATAATGTCATGAGAATTTAAGAAAAGAGTTTCAAGGCAGACTGGGTAGTTAACAATGCAAAACAACAGAGGATAATAAAAACTAACAGCTGCTGAACTTTAAAGAAAGAGAAAAAACACTTATTTTTCAGTCTTTTGAGTTATATTTACTAGCTCTCTATAGTCTTTCCAGTGCATAAGCTTTTTTTAAAAAAAACGGTGCAAGACCATAAGCTTTTAGTAATATATTTCATCTATTCTTACTTTCCAGGCTATTTACTTTTTGATCTCCTGCAATTACCTCTGTGCTCTAACCAAGCTTGCAGACATGTGCATATTCCATATTCTTTTGAGATGTCAATGTACTAGCCACTCTACATTGTTTTTTTGCTTATTCTCTTCTGCCCTCCTTTGGCTTCACAACCCACCTGTTTAGCTAATTTTCGTTTGAGTTGTGATGCCAGCTGCACTTCCTCTTGGGCAGAAAAGTGAAAGTACTGTCAAGTTAGCATTGGATAAACTAAAGATACTTTTTTTCTCTCACTTAAAACTTCAATTATGCCTTAGGTGATTCTTGAAAAGTACATGCTTTTGGTGTTATAGATATATTTTGAAAACCCACTATTTTATTCTAGACAGAAAATCCAAGAATGGAGAGACCATATACATTTAAGGATTTTGTTCTTCACCCAAGAAGGTCAGTAAATATAAAATAATAACATACTAAGTTTTTTGTCTCTTCATTACATTTTCCAGTAGAGTCATTAGAAATTCAGGGTTTAAACTTCTATAAATAAGCTACTTCTAAATATTATTTTTTTAAAAAGCTTCATTGCTGTTTCTGAATAAGAAGTACTATATGCACATTGCAAAACATTCTGAAAATACAGAAAGTGATCACACTTCTTTGGTAAAGATTTGTCCTCTTAATACTTATCAGACTAGAAGGGTAGAATGTGTCATTATTTTATATTTATTTTATATCTTAAAATTTGTCATATTGTCATAATACTGTGCTTTTAAAAATCACAAACGTGAATTCATCTAAAACCATTATCCAACTCGACGTGTACAAAGTGAATTTCAGAAAAGCCTAACTATATTTTGCCTACTTTAAAAAGTATTTCAGAAGACTCAAATATTTAGAGAAGATAACATAAGACTGGAATTTAAAACCCAAATGGTATGCTTCTAATTCCATTTTCCTAAATGAAATTACTTGATGTTTATCAAAAAAAATTAAACTTAAGCTGTAACTAAAACTCCTTTTGATCTTCTGTACCACATTGTGAAGTAAAATCTAGTCAAAACATGTGTGTGGTTTACTGTCTAAAAGGTCAAACTAAAGCAGAGAAAGGACATCTGTGAAAGCGACAGTATTTGTCTTGTTTCTTAAACTATAAAATGCATTTGAAAATGTACTATTGAAACTTAGTAAAATTTTTCACTTAATAATGTTTTTTGAAAATTACTGTTTGTAATGTAAATATTAAAACAAAATTCCTTTCTATAAAGGAAGTTACATTTAATTTTTGTAGATGTCTGGAATGTCAGTCTCTTTGCATCCTTTAATTTTAGACTGATTGTGACATCTGTATACCGAGAATAACTAAGTTGTTTTTTCTTATTTGATTGTCCTAGTAGCCTGCTTTTCAGTTTGTCAAATGCTCTCTTGTGTCTTTGTCTTTAAAAAATACATTTTGCTGCTTCTGTCTGCACCGAATGTTACTGCAAGTGCAGAAAGAACTTTATTCAGATAGAAAATGTACTATATTCCTAAATTTGTTTGAGCCCCATTAAGTCAAAACCTTGAGGCTTATTTTCTAATTGAGAAGACATGAAACACAACTGTAGAGAAACTTTTCAAAAAAACATACTCTGAGCACGTTCTCTGTATCCATCTTTTATAGCAACAAGTCAGTGTGTTCACATCTCCTTCAATATGGAGACACAAGCCACATTAGTGGCCTTGGAAGTAAGCATCGGGGATTTCACTGACTACTCAGGAAAGCATACGCTAAATTTGCCAAATCCATGAGAACTATACAGAGAAGAGCTAAAAAAGATTAGGGAAGGCTTTGGAGTAGGGATAGGTAATCTCTTGAAGACAGAATAAAAGGATTAGGACTCTTGTCTAGAAAGACATAGGGTAATTGCTACACATTTGATAACTGTAAACATCATCCCCAAAAAATCTATATAGAAAGCTATATAGAGACAAGAAAGGATTTCTTAAGTAAATCATCAGATGTTAGAATTGGTGCGGGCAATAGATAGAATTAAGCATTAAATTAAAAGCTTATGAAAGTACTGTAATTGTAGCACTTTGGGAGGCTGAAGTGGGTGGATTGCTTGAGCCCAGGAATTCCTGACCAGACTGAGAAACAAGATAAAACCTCATCTCTACAAAAAGAATACAAAAATTAGCTGGGCATGGTGGCGCATGCCTGTAGTCTCAGTTATTTGGGAGGCTGAGGTGGGAAGATCACCTGAGATTGAAAGGTCAAGGCTGCAGTGAACCATGATTGAGCCACTGCACTCCAGCCTGGGCAACAGAGGGAGATGCTATCTCAAAAAAAAAAAAAAAAAAGAAGGAGCAGCAGCCTTTAGCTTAGACAAGTAATTATTCAAAGAGGTGATACAATATAAAAATAGATTAGGTAAATTGATGTGTGGCAGATTCAAACAGCTGCCAAAAAGATGTAGCAGGTTTCAGACAATTATCAGGCCTTACCTTCTACTCTTCTGTCATCCAATACAGTATGGCCAAATTAATAACCCTAAAGCACCTCTCAAAATGCTCAGTGGTTTACCAAAATATGCAAAATAAAGTCTGAAGTTCTCTGATTTTGCATGACCTCTGGACCATCCCTACCTCCTTTAGTCTGCTTTATAAATCCTTTAATCCAGCCAAACTCAACTACTGTCATTTCCTTAATTGCATGCCAAATTTTCCATCTGCTTCCTGGATCTTGCCCCCTTCTCCACCATATGCCTTTTCCTCTGCTGTCACAGGTAAGAATCCTCCCCAATCTTCTAATCCGAACTCAGGGCCAGCTTCTCTTTGACACTGTCTCTGTTCGTTTACTTAAACTTCCTTAGCATCTGCTTCGTAGCCTAACAATTATTTATTTATATATGTTTTCCTTTTCTCCACCTTCTGTTCCTTTCCCTGGCTGTCTTCTGCCCTGGAACTTGTCTTTGAGCCTACCCTTGTAGAACCCCTGCTAGCTACTGGGGGTTCATTAAACTCTTATTAATTGAATACTTTTCTCCCTGGTGTTAAATTTTTATGAATATTTATTTTCTTTTCTACAGTCACAAATCAAGAGTTAAAGGTTATCTGAGACTAAAAATGACTTATTTACCTAAAACCAATGGCTCAGAAGACGATAATGCAGAACAGGCTGAGGAATTAGAGGTGAGATTTTATAAATATTTGGTTAAACTAAAAAAATTTAATTTCTTTTACTCTACTCTAAAGAACAATAACTTTACTGAATGAAGTTATGTGTGCAATAAAAATTATTTACTTGGACATTTATCTCACATAAGCGTTCATTAATAGTTTCTTTCCTCTAAGAATATTTCTGTAGAATAAATGGCCCTAATTTCTGATGGCCTTCTTAAAGGTTAAGATATAGAGAACAGAATATAAATCTAGTTTTTCAAAGTTTTCTAAAACTTCGTGTTTTCCATTAAAGTAAGAATACAATTTAGTATTTTGAAGTTAAATATATGGACATTTTGAGGAGACTCCACTCATTAGGAACTGTTTTATGAAATTTAAGGGCTCATAGGAAAGGAGGGGAGTTAGGGGGCAAGGAGAATTTAAGTGATCTAATAAAGAGCTTTAGGTATGTGGGGCAAGTAGTTAAACATTTTCATGGATGACAGGAGGAGAGGAAAGTTCAAGTCAAGATTTGTGCAAAGCTACATGCCTCTGGGGTAATCAAATAGGAGGTGGAAAGTATGTATTTCGAATAGAATTGAATCGGGTTTGGAGACTGGAATTCTAGTTGCACATTCTATCTAACCAGGCCTGTGTGAGTCATTGAACTTTTCTGAACCTCAGGATCTTGTTTGCAGAATGACAGGATGGCACCAGATGACCTTGAGGGTTTCTTCCTGCTGAAAAATTTATGATTTGAAAAGGGGGCAAAAAAAAAAAACCCTGCTCTTTGAGGTTCCCTTTAAAAGCACATTATCATCAAAAAGAAGTATCATTTATTCAATAGTTGTATTAGTCCATTTTCATACTGCTATGAAGAAATACCTGAGACTGGGTAATTTATAAGGAAAAAGAGGTTTAATGGACTCTTAGTTGCACATGGCTGGGAGGCCTCACAATTGTGGTGGAAGGTGAAAGAGGGCACAGCATCACACATGGTGGCAGGCAAGAAAGTATATAGCGGGGAACTGCCCTTTATAAAACTATCAGATCTCGTGAGACTTATTCACTGTCATGAGAACAGCATGGGAAAAATTTGCCCCCATGATTCAATTACCTCCTATCCACTGAGTCCCCCCTACAGTATGAGGCGATTATAGGAGCTACAATTCAAGATGACATTTGAGTGGGGACACAGCCAAACCCTATCAACAGTAGTCACCAAACATACACAGCATATGGCACCAAATTACTCTGGAGGGTTCTTTTTTGGTGCCTTGCTTAACACTTTTGCCTCTTTGACTGAGGGCCTGCTTAGGTCTCCATAAGAAAAGCTGAGGGCCTTCCCCAGGGGCTAGGCTCTACCTCACATGCCCATGTACCTTGAGAAAGAAAGCTCTAGAACAGGTAGTGAATTTGCAACAAAGCTTTCTGGGAAATTTTTAAACGCACTAATAAGATTTTGCTTTGTGGGAAAATCTTTAACAGAAGGAAAGACTTTTTTTTTTCTTCCAGAGGAAGCCAGTCTTCCTCTATGGCCCATGCTGGAATGCTATGGTGCCATCTCAGCTCACTGCAACCTCCACATCCTGGGTTCTAGCAATTATTGTGCCTCAGCCTCCCAAGTAGCTGCGATTGCAGGCATGTGCCACCATGCCTGACTAATTTTTATAGTTTTAGTAGAGACGGGGTTTCACTATGTTGGCCAGGCTGGTCTTGAACTCCTGAACTCCTGGCCTCAAGCTGTCCACCCACCTCGGCTTCCCAAAGTGCTGAGATTACAGGCATGAGCCAGGAAAGAACTTTTTTCTTCAAATCAGAGCGTATAGATAGCCCTTAGTTTGGTGATTAAAGAACTTGTTTTCCTCTCAGTTGTATCTTCACTTACTTGATTAACTTTTTTCTTAATCATTTTTTCTCTGATTTTCATATAATAATCTTTTTTAAAGTTTTCAAGTATTTATTCAATGGAAGTTTCCCTACCTGACTGTTTGGTGTACCAGAGTATCTTGCATAATGGAATTTTGTTTGAAATGAAGGATATCTGCTGTAAAGAAAAAAAAATTGTTTAGTAACTTGAAAAATTTTAACAGCATTTCGTTATTTAGTAACCTGCTCCAAGTTTTGCCCACATGCACGCATCATAGGACGTTATTCACAGTTCAGTTTCTGTGGCAAGAACTTCGCTTCATTTTGCGGTCGTATGTCTCAGTGTTTGAATTCCCTCAGAGTGCACCTTATAATTTCAGGAGATGTAAGCATGTAAGAGTTTATTTTTGAAAGGCCCTAGGAATTCAAACACATGACTGTGCTTATTTACACATGAATCTGTATAGCTAATGACTAGAGGAGTCTTGCCTAGTCCTTTGACAGCTAGTTTGTGACTGTATGTATAAAATTCTACTATTTAAGGAAAACAATTTTAATTTTGAAATGAAGGTGACTCTTAGATAGTCTGTATTCTGTAGTAAAGTATGGCTATAGTAGATAATTATGTAATATTTGATTTTTGTACCCCTTACAACTTTAGGGTTAGTTGTATGTGTTTTACAAAATTAACATGTAAACTCTTGGTTATACCTCTGAATGCTTTCTTTCTGACCCTCTTTGACTTGATTAAATTGTGGGCAATTACATATTGGCTTTGAGGTTAGAAATTAAATAAGATTCATTGATACTTAGAAAGTTATTTTATAGAGAATAGCAGCTGATACACATTTAATAGGAAGGCATCCTATCCAAAAAATTGACTGTGTAGAGGCATTCTATCCAGTCTTTCTAAACAGTGATTGCACAACTGTATTTACACAAACTTGAGACCGTTTTTTAAAAGCCCTTAATAAATTAATTTTTGTTCTTTCTCTTCTTGAATTTACTCAGATAATATAAATACAATAAGCAGACATTTAAGAGAGAAATCTCTAAGGAGCTTTAAAAGAAATATTCTTTTGGTACCATTTTCTAGAACTATTTTTATAATCCTTTACAGCAGTGGTGAGAACTCTTTTATTAATAAATTGTATTAATCTTAAAGGAAAGTAATCATTGATTATATTCACCAAAAAATGTTAAGCTTATGTTTTCTCAAAAGAGTAAAATATAAAAATTTAACTTACATGTTTTTGGGATTGAAACCAGAAAAATACAATCTGATTCAATATATGTAAGACTAATTTTTAGGCATGCTAGATGCTATATTACCATAATTTAAGGTAAAGGAAAAGAAAGAAAGAAGGAAGATAAACATGGATGGGCAGACAAAGTAAGAGGATATAGGGAAAGAAGAGAATGGAATTTGGGCCATAAAAAGAAAAAAAACAGAGATACCAATTCTTATAAAAGAGGTAAAAAGAAAAAAAGCAAGGTTGGGCACAGTGGCTCATGCTGGTAATCCCAGCACTTTGGGAGACCAAGGCAGGAGGATTGCTTGAGCCCAGGAGTTTGAGACCAGCCTGGGCAACATAGTGAGGCCCCATCTCTACAAAAAATAAAAAATTAGGCTGGCATGGTAGTACGCACCTATAGCCGTACCTGCTCAGGAGGCTAAGGTGGGAGGATTGTTTGAGCTCAGGAGGTCAAGGCTGCAGTGACCTGTGATGGCACCACTGCACTCCAACCTGGGTGACAGAATGAGACCCTGTGAGGAGAAAGAAGAAAGGAAGAAAAATTCTCGTCCAGACCTTTTTTCCCAAAATAATTTATTCTGTCATCTTCCTCCCCCAACACCCCTCACCTTCTATACAGAGCTAGCCAAAATAAATCAGCCTTGCTGCAGAAACCCCTATCCATTTCTCACTGCTACCAAAAAACGTTCCTTTCCTTCCCAACTCTTTTCCCTGAGCCCTCGTTTTCAGGTCTAGCCTTCCAACATAGAATTATCTTCCATCTTCTAAGCAATCCACTGCCTGTCACATAGCAGTCATGTATTGCTGTTCTCCAGGCCTAGAACAGAAACTCTATGTATATAAGGAAATTATTCTGTGTCTATTATCAAAGTACCAAAAATGTTTGCCACTTTGTGATGTACTTATGTTATATGTTATTTGTGGGTTTTTGTTTTGTTTTTTTGTTGTTATTTAGTAATTAGGGCCATATACAAATTTGGGTGTTTTGTTGTCAAGTTTATGGATCTTCTCTTTCATGCCTTCAGGGTTTGGTGTCATACTCAACAGTGTTCCACTCTTAAAGTGTATTTCTAAAATTTCCAAAAATTTGTTACTAATACTTTTTAGTTTTACTTTTAAACATTTAAATATTATTCAGTCTGTAACTTATCCTGATATAAGGAATGAGGTAGGGATTCAAGTGAAGTTTTTTCCCAAATGGGTGCCCATTTTGTAAGTAATTTGCCTATTTTGCCACAGATTGGAAATGTCTTTATCTTATTCTTAATTCCTATAAATGTTGTTTGCTGTTGTTGTTTTTCGAGAGAGAGTACTGCTGTGTCACCCAGGATAAGTGCAGTGGTGCGATCTCAGCTCACTGCAACCTCTACCTCCCAGGCTCAATCAATTCTCCTGCCTCAGCCTACCGAATAGCTGGGATTACAGGCACCTGCCACCACGCCCACCATATTTTTGTATTTTTGGTAGAAGTAGGGTTTCATCATGTTTGCCAGGTTGGTCTGGAACTTCTGACCTCAAGTGACTCACCTGCCTTGGTCTACCAAAGTGCTGGGATTACAGGGGTGAGCCACTGTGCCTGGTCGAAATTCCCATGAAGTTGAATCTCTTTCTGGGCAAATCTGTTGAGTTGCCTGTTGATGCATGCAGTGCCACACAGCTTTAATTGTTGTCGTTTATAGTAGCTTTATCTGGTAGGGTTGATCTTCACTTCTTGCTCTTCTTTTTTAGAATTGTGCTGCTTATTGCTGTTTGTTTATATTTCTATTTGAACTTGAGAATTGCCTTGTATTTTTGGGGGGTGGGGGGCAAGGGGGACAGAGTTTCACTCTTGTTGCCCAGGCTGGAGTGCAGTGGTACAATCTTGGCTCACCACAACCTCCACCTCCCAGGTTCAAGCAAGTCTCTTGCCTCAGTCTCCTGAGTAGCCGAGATTATAGGCATGCACCACCACGCCAGACTAATTTTGTGTTTTTAGTAGAGACGGGGTTTCACTATGTTGGCCAGGCTGGTCTCGAACTCCTGACCTCAGGTCATCTACCCACCTCGGCCTCACAAAGTGCTGGGATTGCAGGTGTGAGCCACTGTGCCTGGCCTATTTTTTTTTTTTAAATCCTAATGTAGTTGTGTTGGAATCTTGGCAAATTTATAGATTACCTTAGGAAGAATTGACACCTTTGTGAGACTGAATCTTCCCAGCCAAGATCAGACCATGCCTTTCCATTATTTAGGTCTTCTTTTGTGTCCCTTTGGGAGCATTTTAAAGTTTTCTTCACCAGTTTATTTCAGTTTCGAATGCTGTCCTAACCAGTCAGTATTTAATAAAATCTTTTGCCTACCGCCTTTTCTTTTATGAGGTTTCCCATATAAAAGCATTAATTCTTGCTACTCTTTTCTATCAGTTCCTTACTTTAGGCTTAACTAAGGCTTTGTGTTAATTTTGCCTCTTGTTAGTCTCTGAGAAACCAAACTTCCAGTGCATTTTTAAAAAAATCTTTATTTGGCTGTTTTATGGCTTGACTAAAATGGCTTGCCTTGGTCCAGAGGAGAAAGAGAGAAAATTGGACAAGGGAATCACAATGACTTTTCCATCACTAGAGAGTTCACTGTAGCAATTATTTCAAAATCATTTGCCCTTCCCTATCTTGCCCATCTATGCATTTGACCTTTATCTAATAATTTTTTCCACGTCTCAGATAGTTATTGATTTCTACCATAAGCATGGTGCTTTCTCTGCAGGAAAGACAATGACCAATAACACATAATCCTTGCCCGTCATTCAGCTTATAATTTAGAGAATAGCCGAGATTACACCGGTAACTTAAACTATGCTTCTCAATTTCTCAGTGCTTTTTATTTCCAACTTTCCACTGTTGTTTATTTAAAAGATAAAAGATTTTTTGTCCTTTATTTGATTAGATTTTTTAAATCTCATTTTTGATTGACAAACAGTAATTGTATATATTTATAGAGGACAATGTGATATTTTGATGTGTGTTTACCATGCAGAATGATTAAATCAGGCAAATTAAATCTATCACCTCACTTCTATTTTTTGTTAAGAAAATTTTAAATAGATTTGTTTTAAAGTTTTGGTTTATCGTTGTTCTATCTTGAGACAGGATCTGGTTCTGTCACCCAGGCAGAACCTGGTGGAAACTTTATAGGCATTTGCCTTTAAAGGTTGTTTTGGAAAAATTTTTGGACAATTTCAAACAAAAATTAAATGGTTATCATTTTTGCAAAAAAAGTCTTCATTGTCATAAAATATTTATATTATGGTATTAAAAGTTGAGGATTGTTAATTCTGTCTATGCATAATTTCTAGAACTTAATATAAAAATCTCTTTTAAAATTTCCTTTAGCATATAATTTATAAGGTTAAAAAAATCAAGCATAAACTTAATGGCTACCATCCTGTTTTTCAGCCTGGCTGGGTTGTTTTGGACCAACCAGATGCTGCTTGCCATTTGCAGCAACAACGAGAACCTTCTCCTCTACCTCCAGGGTGGGAAGAGAGGCAGGATATCCTTGGAAGGACCTACTATGTAAACCATGAATCTAGAAGAACGCAGTGGAAAAGACCAACCCCTCAGTATGTGCTGGTGGCTTTTACAATTTTAATCTGGAAATACTTTAACTACTAATTCTCACTTTGAGGTCATGTCTCAGATGGATTCATAACAGGATAGTGATGCATAAACTATAATAATACTAGGATTTTTATGGCCCGGGACTTAAAAAGTCCTAGCTCTGCTGTTTTTTTTTTTTTTTTAATGACTTAATAATACTTGATTCATAGATAATACCCTTTTAATTGCTTCTTAATTTTAATATGTTTTTAATTGTCATGTAGCCACAAGTGGTACATTTGTCTTTTTAGGCTGAATTAGAAGTCTTGAAGAATTTTTGTAGTTATTAAAGTATAATAAAATGTTAATTTCTACAGTACTCTATTTTTAAAATATAAATTATTTATAAAATATAAAGGACTCAATAATAAGGGTCTTTTATTAAACACCTATTCGACAGTCTGCTCAATGTCCACATAACTTCCAGCATGCACAGATCACATATTCTAACTTATGTCTCCTCAGTGATATTTTTCTTTTATTATCATAAGACTGTATATAAACTTATAAAATCTCCCATTATTCATATTCATTCTCAAATCCGCTTTCATTTCTTCTTCCATAGAGTCTTATGAATCCTTCCTTTAGTCTTATGTTTGAAACATACTTGTAATTTTTTTTTTGAGACAGAGTTTCGCTCTTGTTACCCAGGCTGGAGTGCAATGGCGCCATCTCGGCTCACCACAACCTCCGCCTCCTGGGTTCAGGCAATTCTCCTGCCTCAGCCTCCTGAGTAGCTGGGATTACAGGCACGTGCCACCATGCCCAGCTAATTTTTTGTCTTTTTAGTAGAGACGGGGTTTCACCATGTTGACCAGGATGGTCTCGATCTCTTGACCTCGTGATCCACCCGCCTCGGCCTCCCAAAGTGCTGGGATTACAGGCTTGAGCCACCACGCCCAGCCCATACTTGTAATTTTTTAATGTGTGCATTAGCCTCCTAATTTTTGGCTTTGATATTTTGTATCTGATATATGCCAAGCACTTTCATAAACATTTTCTGTTCTCAAATCCTTTTAAAACAAATCAGCAGTTCAAGTACTTAATGGCACAGAAGCATCAGTCTTCACAGAGTGACATACAGATTACAAAGCCGAAGACACTATGAAATTCTGCAGAGTTGCCCTATTGCATACCTCAGCATTATGGCAAGCCTTACTTGAGCAGAATCACATTTCTTTCACTGTGGCGAATGTCATTTTCAGGTAGCCAAAATCAAATATTTAGGGGGAAAAAAAACTGAAGCATTCCCTTAGAACCATGTGCCAAAATTATGCTTTCTTCAGCTGCAGTACAGTAGTAACTGGTCTTCTGACTAGCATGGGCTCATGTGGCATTAAATAAATTAACAATAATTTTATTATTAAATATTTGAACAAAATTCTTGATCTTATAGTCTGGTTATAGTAAATGCAAATAACTAGAATAATATAAATTATTCTATTTATATTCAAGGGTGTTCAATCTGATTTTTTTTATTTTAGTTTTTGTGAGTCCTTAGTAGGTATATATATTTATGGGCTACCTGAGATGTTTTGATACAGGCATGCAAGGCATAACAATCACATCATGCAAAATGGGGTATCCATCCCCTCAAGCATTTATCCTTTCTCTTACAAACAATCCAATTATAGTCTTCTGGTTGTTTTTAAATGTAAAATTAAATTATTATTGACTGTAGTCACCTGTTAGGCTATCAAATGCTAGGTCTTATTCATTCTTTCTGTTTTTGTAATCCTCATTAACCATCCAATCTGATTTATTGTACCTCTCCTAAGCTAGACAAATCTTTACTGTTAACTTTTTAGGCTTGTGATTGTATATTACCAAAAAAAAACCAGATACCATTCCTAATAGATACGTGATTCGTAAATCATTAAGCTTTTAATTATAAAGTCCTTACACGTTCTTTCATTCTGTCCATCACATTGGTGCATGGAGTACTCTACTCCTGGCTTAAGACCACTTCTAGAAAAGGTACTATCTGATTCACAAAATGTATGTGTAGCTTTATTACTCTTGTAATAACATGGCAAAATAACATAACGAAATAATCTGTGAAGCTCTCTCATTTTGGCCTTTGGTCACAGAATCTTTGACAATCATTTTAACTACTTAAGACATAGATGATGGCTTTTTATACTTCCAATATAGGGACAACCTAACAGATGCTGAGAATGGCAACATTCAGCTGCAGGCACAGCGTGCATTTACCACCAGGCGGCAAATATCCGAGGAAACAGAAAGTGTTGACAACCGAGAGTCTTCCGAGGTATAAGTGGTTTCCTAGTTCTCCTTGATAGACACATGCTATAGCAATAGATTAAAGTATGTGTGGCTCAAGCTTATTCTGTTAATTTTAGAACTGGGAAATTATAAGAGAAGATGAAGCCACCATGTATAGCAGCCAGGCCTTCCCATCACCTCCACCATCAAGTAACTTGGATGTTCCAGCTCACCTTGCAGAAGAATTAAATGCCAGACTCACCATCTTTGGAAATTCAGCCACAAGCCAGCCAGTATCCAGCTCAGTAAGATGCTCTTAGATTTGTTTATGGTTTCAGTATTTTATATTATGCATATTATACCATTCAACAACTAACTTTTATGTAAAATTTTGTCTTAAATGCAATAATATGTCAGGGACCTTAGGACTTTACAGCATGGTCATTTTTCAAATATCCCCATTAATATTATGGACCAGAGTCATGGCATCCAAATTTCCATTATGTCAGTGCCCTCCAATCAGAAATCACTAGGGACACATATGTCATTGAACAAGTTGGGTTTATTAGTCATTTCAGCAAAGGAGAACACGCACCATTGGTATTTTGTCAACAGAATGTTAGAAAAGACTTAAAAGATTTGGGCTGATGTTAGGTGATTTTGAAGAGGGTTTTAGGAAGCAGGACTTTGCTCTACATGAGATGCTGTCAGGAAGCAGGGATAATTCTGTGATTTTGTATCTCAAATCTTCCCTGTAGTGAGGCTAAAGCTGTGATTAGCAAAGTATAACAGTCACTCACATTTGCCAGGATAGGGAAATGTTTGGTATTTGGTGGCTTGGACAATGTTCATGTTTTGTCTATATTCAGCCATGATTACAGAGTGGTCTTGATTTTGTCTCGATCTTACCTGTGAGTGCCAGACCAGCTCCTGGATGTTAGGGACTGCTTTTCTCTCTCTCTGTTAAGCTGAAGTTGGTTTTTCTTTCTTTCTTTCTTTCTTTTTTTTTTTTTTTTTTTTGCCATCTCACTTTGTCACCCAGATGGGAATGCAGTTGTGCTATCTCAGCTCACTGCAAACTCCACCTCCTGGGTTCAAGTAATTCTCGTGCCTCAGCCTCCTGAAGAGCTGGGATTACAGACGCATACCACCACACCCAGTTAATTTTTGTGTTTTTAGTAGAGATGGAGCCATGTTGGCTTGGCTGGTCTTGAACTCCTGGCCTCAAGGGATCCACCTGCCTCAGACTCCCAAAATGCTGGGATTACAGGCATGAGCCACTGCATCTGGCCTGAAGTTTTAACATTTTATCACAGATGTCACCAACAGGTATATATGAATAAGAACTGATGTACTTTGACTAAACAAGGAGATAGATGACATTTTCACTTCAGCCACCACTGTAAAAACTGCTTTCCATAGGGTTCAGAATAAAGTATTCCAGCATATGCTTCCACGGTGAGAACTTCGTGGCTAGCTATACAGACTGTATCATCAAGGGAGATTCATTAGAAGACAAAAATTATTCTCTGAGGATGCTATTTGTCATTTCCAGTTGAGGTTACCCTGCGTTTCATTCAGTTAGTATTTATTGAGAGCTGATCACATATATGCAAGGTACTATATGCTAGTTACTGGGGATATATCAGTAAGTAAAATTAACAGTATCTCCTGCCTTCATGTGACTTATATTCTAGTGCAGAGGCAAGCAAACTACAACCAGTGGGCCAAATTGGCAGCTGCCTGTTATGAATAATATACTGTTGGAGTATAGGTACATCATTTGTTTAGGTATTACCATCTCTGCTTTCACACTACATCATCTGAATGAGTAGTTACGGCAGCAACCACATGGCCCACAGCCAGTATTTACTGTCTAGACCTTACCAGGAAATGTTTGCTAACTTCTGCTCTAGCATCTTCTTCAAGAAGCTTCACTGTAGATAGTTGTACGGGAATATGAATATCCGTGAGTACATCTGCCTGCCTACCTCCTGCCCTTCCTTTCTTCCATTTGTTTGTCCTGTCTTCCATTCATTTCATTTTTTCATGGGGGTGTGGTACTGGTCAGTCAGAGACCTAAAGGATAAACTATATTAGGCCAGACACAGTGGCTCATGCCTGTAATCCCAGCACTTTGGGAGGCCAAGGTGGGCAGATGGCTTGAGGTCAGGAGTTCAAGACCAGCCTGGGCAACATGGCAAAACCTTATCACTACTAAAAATGCAAAAATTAGCTGGGTGTGGTGGTGCATGCCTGTAATCCCAGCTGCTCAGGAAACTGAGCTGGAAGAATTGTTCGAACCCAGGAGGCAGAGGTTGCAGTGAGCTGGGATCACGCCATTGCACTCCAGCTTGGGCGACAGAGAAACTCTGTCTCAAGAGAAAAAAAAAGAATAAACCATATTGATTCGCTGGTAATAAATCACATGGGATCCCATTCCCTGTCCGCCTGGTATTTTTTTTTTACTTATTGTCATACATGGCACCCGTATCGTGTAATACTATGTAGCCACTGAAAAGAACAAGGTGGGCTTGACTATATATGTCTGATGGAACAATCCCTAAGAGATTCTGGTAAATGAAAAACAGCAAGGTACAGAACAATGTGTTTGATAGCTACGAATGTATGATATTACTCGAGGACTAAACAGGAAACTAGTAATGCTGCTTGCCTGTGAAGAGAGGCAGAGAATGAACAGGATATGTATTGCTTGTACCTTTTGTGTTTTTGATATAGGGTCTCCCTCTGTCACCCAGGCTGGAAGGCAGGAGCATGATCATAGCTCACTGCAACCTCAAACTTCTGGGTTCAAGGGATTCTCCCATCTCAGCCTCTGGAGTAGCTAGCACTACAGGCACATGCCATTGTACCCCCAGTAATTAAAAAAAATAATTTGTAGAGACTGGGTATAGTATTGTTGCCCAGGTTCCTTTTGAATTTTATAACATGTATGAGTGTTAACTATTTTAAGAAATATTTTTAAGGCACTGTATGGTTATGGTTACAAATTGAAATTGTATTTAGGTGTATAAAGTAAAATTTAAGACCAGGCATTATGGCTCAAGCTTGTAATCCCAGCACTTTGGGAGGTCAAGGCAAGCAGATCACTTGAGGTCAGGAGTTCGACCACCCTGGCCAACATGGCAGAACCTCATCTATACTAAAAATAACAAAAATTAGCTGAGTGTGGTGGCATGTGCCTGTAATCTCAGCTACTTGGGAGGCTGAGACAGGAGAATTGCTTGAACCCAGGAGGTGGAGGTTACACTGAGCCAGGATCATGCCACTGCACTCCAGCCTGGGCAACAGAGTAAGACTCTGTCTCAAAAAATTTAAATGAATAAATAAATAAAATTAAATCTTCCATATTACCCTAATGTATGCTCCCTCAGTCACTATTAGTGGTCAAAGACCTAAAGAATAAATGATTATTGATTTGCTAGTGATAAATAACTTACATACCTATGTAGACACTATTTCTATATATTCATAAACATGCATACATACACACATATTTGTAGGTGATTTTTGAACCTAAGATCATCTTAAATATACTTTTTGGTAACTTGCTTTTTTCACTTGCTGTCTCTTAGACATTGAACCATTTCAGTATATATAGATCTACTCCTTTAAAAACCAATTAAAATGATCATAAAATGATCATTAAACTCTAGCATATTCCATCATACAAGTAACTCTTATTTCACCAGTCTCCTATTCAAAGACTTTAGATTGTTTACAGTACTATTATAAACAGAACTACAGTAGATCTTCTGATTTAATTTCTGTGTGCATTGTAAATTTTGATGTCTTTAAATAACAAAACTAAGATATTTCAGATAGTGATAATAGCATGTATATACAAACATAAGGAAAAAAAGAACATGAGATTTCCAGAAAACAAGTCGTCCAGAATGTCCAACGGATAGATTGTGAAGTGGGAAGTAGCTGAAGAAGTCAGGAAGAGGCAGGTCTTGGTACTCAGGAAACACTGTTTTCTGTGCCGTCATGGGGTTCAGCTCCAGGACAGGACTGGCTGTGCAGTGCAGGATGCTCTGAACCTGCAGCATGCAGCATGTAGAGTGGACTTAAGGAAGTAAGACTTGCAACAGGGAAACCTCTTAGGATATTGCTGTCATTGTAAGGAAAGTGACAAAAGGTGAAAACTTGAAGTTAAAACTATAAAACTGGAACTACGAGCCAAACACAGTGGCTCATGCCTGTAATCCCAGCACTTTGGAAGGCTGAGGTGCGTGGATCACGAGGTCAGGAGTTCAAGACCAACCTGGTCAATATGCTGAAACCCCGTCTCTACTAAAAATCCAAAAATTAGCCAGGTGTGGTAGCATGGACCTGTAGTCCCAGCTACTCAGGAGGCTGAAGCAGAAGAATTGCTTGAACCCAGAAGTGAAAGTTGCAGTGAGCCAAGATCACACCACTGCACTTCAGGCTGGGCAACAGAGCGAGACTCCATCTCAAAACAAAAAATTAGAACTTAAGTGTAGAGGGAGTGTGTTTGAGAATGACTTCTGTTAAGACATTCAAGAGAAGGCGTCCAGGAGGCAGTCCAGCACCGAGGGCGTGGTAGCTGGATGTGTGAAGGTGTCCACCTAGGGGGCTGAGAGCGACCAGGTGCCTCAGCCTGCAGTCTCAACAGCTGCGTGTTAGCCAGCCTTCTCTCTTCTGCCCTGTCATGCTTACCCTCACTACCTTAGCTGACACTCAAAGGCAAATCACAAATCTCAAGGTATTCTTATTCTGTTGTCTTGTTTTTTACAAGAATCATTCCAGCAGAAGAGGCAGCTTACAAGCCTATACTTTTGAGGAACAACCTACACTTCCTGTGGTGAGTTTTACCCTCTTCCATCAATTAATAAAAAATATAAAACTCAGCCTCTCTTTTTATTTTTATTTTGGAAGACTGAGTGTGAACACTTGCCTTACAGGGAACCTGTACAGCACAGAATCTAGGTCCCAGGTGGTGATATTCAGGGAAGGACCTTAAAGACAAAACGTGCAAAACTGTCCCTCCCATGTTAAAAGCAAAGTCTCTGCATGCCGGTGACTGTGGGTGGTATCTGGGCTTGTTGGTTGAATCACTGTACTGTCTAGAGGTGGTCGCTGCATGCAGCATACAATTCAGAATCATTGTGTCCAGTTGTTGATGCTCTGCGCATGCACACGGCATCCAGCAGCTATGTCTGCCCTGTACCCGAAGCATAGCCAGGGTTTCATCACTCAGGTGTCCATTGGCATTGACACACCCAGCGGCCAGGTTGGAGTTTATCAGTCCCTGGTCTGTTTCTTCCCTGAGGTATCACATTCGTCAGTCTACTGAGGCCTCTGCTTCCTGCTCAGTGCTGTTTCCAGCCACATCCTAGGTGGCAGTTTGGACCTTAACCTTGCCTCCATCCACTTCCTGACACAAGCCTCACTTCTCTGAGTTTCTCTCTCTTTTCCAGAGATCCTACTTGTTACTTACTTATTACTTATTTTATTTTTATTTTTTATTTTTTTTTTATTTTTATTTTTTATTGAGATGGAGTCTCACTCTGTCACCAGGCCAGAGTGCAGTGGCACGATCTCAGCTCACTGCAGCCTCCACCTCCCAGGTTCAAGGAATTCCCCTGCCTCAGCCTTCCCAGTAGCTGGGACTACAGGTGGGTGCCACCACGCCTGGCTAATTTTTTATATTTTAGTAGAGATGGGGTTTCACCATGTTGGCCAGGATGGTCTCGATCTCCTGACCTCATGATCTGCCCACCTTGGCCTAACGAAGTACTGAGATTATAGGCGTAACCCACCAGGCCCAGCTCACTCTGCTTGTTTTTTAAACCAGATCAAAACTCCCAGGCTCCCAGCCTCTTCAGCCTACCCCTCCTTATCCCCCAACAGAAGCCTCCTGCTGCTTTCATTCATGTCTATGCTTTTTCTTCCAAGGAGACTGTTCCCATGTCCTGATTCTCTCCCTCTTCTGATTTTGTGTGCATTCCATTTCTCCACTTGGAATGGCTTTCTCATTTTCTTCCCCAACCATCTGGAATTTTGAATGGCAGTCTAGATAGCTTTAAAAACTAGGGTTGTGTTCTAGCACAGGAATGCAGAGGCTCCAAAATCCGGAGCCCACAAGTGGTTTATCTGTCTACACAACACCCTGCACTAAGAGAGGGGAACACAGATCCTGTGCCAAGGAATGAGGGGTCACCCACCTATGCATCCATTGCCCTAGTCAGTACTGACCATCAACAAGAGGACAGATGCCATTGAAAGACTACCCTTGCCAGCCTTACTCTTGCTCACTGTCACCTGTCTAGCCTCCTCCATTAGATCAGAGCCCGCTCAAGCTGAGTTCCATGGTATTTTTCCCACTGCACCTTATAATGTCCTTTATACAATGCATATGTGGAAGTTCTCACTGACTCATAGAAATTCACCCAAGACAAAACTTTAGGTACACCTGGTGAGCAACAGAATCGTAGGATGATTTATATTTTATGTGCCAGAAAAGTTGTTTCCATGCCTTTTTTTCCCTCAGTACATTGATTTTGTTTTTTTAGGAGTTTTCTTGAAGTATAATTTACACACCATAACATCCACCCACTTTTGATCATACAAATAAATGGTTTTTGTAAATTTATACAGTTAAGCAGACATCACCACAATCAAGTTTAAGAACCTTCTATCACCCCCAAAAGTTCCCTCAATCCCTGGCCTACTTTCAGTCCCAAGCAACCACTCATCTGCTCTCTATCGCTACAGTTTTGCCTTTTTTAGAAATCTCAGGTAAAGGGAGTCGTAGGGTGTAGGCTTTTGTGTCCACCCTCTTTCACTTATTATGCTGTTTTTCAGATAGATCTATGTTATTGCATGCCTGTATTAGTGTATGGTATTCCATTGTAGAGATATATCCACTACATTTATCTATTCACCAGCAGATGGACATTTATAGAACTGGACAGCATTTAAATCCATCATTTTGTGATCTAACAGCTCATCACAACTGCCAGCAATGTACATAGAGCTCCTGTGTATCTAGTAAGCAGCGCCTTTAGTGTGGAGACTGGTGGCGATGGTTCTTATGTTGTAAGCCACCTTAGGGAGCCACACCAAACCAGGGTTAATCTGGTTCAAAATGACAATAGGAAGGCCACATTTAGGACTCTTTTCTTTTCTTTGTTTCTTTTCTTTTTGGAGAAGGAATCTTGCTCTGTCACCAGGCTGGAGTGCAGTGGCACCATCTCGGCTCACTGCAACCTCTGCCTCCTGGGTTCAAGCGATTCTCCTACCTCAGCCTCCTGAGTAGCTGGGACTACAGGTGCCCACCTCATGCCTGGCTAATTTTTGTTTTTTTGAGATGGAGTTTCACTCTTGCTGCTGAGGCTAGAGTGCGATAGTGCAATCTTGGCTCACCATAACCTGCCTTTAGGGTTAAAGCGATTCTTCTATCTCAACCTCCTGAATAGCTGGGATTTCAGATGCCCGCTACCACACCCAGCTAATTTTTTTTTTGTATTTTTAGTAGAGATGAGGTTTCACCATTTTGGTCAGGCTGGCGTCGACCTCCTGACCTCACGTGATCTGCCTATCTCGGCCCCACAAAGTGCTGGGATTACAGGGATAAACCATTGCACCCGGCCTGGATTTAGAACTATTTTAAGTAAGCCTAGAAATAATCAGACCTCTCTTTATCCAATTGTAACAAACTATGATAAGTAGCATCTCCTAGCTTTTAGAGAAACAAAGTATGGGTAACTGCTGATGCAGCAGGTAAGTATGATGTCTGCTGCTAAATTACCTGGGTTCAAATCTCAGCTCCATTCCTTACAAGCAATGTTGCTTAACAAGTTAATTCCATGACTTCTTGGCATTTTGGCTAAGATCAAGTGTAGTAACAAGTTACTTCCATATTTTAAGCTTCTGTTTACTCACAACTAAAATGAGCCAATATTAGCAATCGTCTCATTAAAATTAAGTGGGAAGAAAATGACATCTGTGTTAAACACTTAGCATGTGCTTGTTATTGTTGGCATATTTTATTAGGGTTGTTATCACTCTCATCATTATTGTTGGTGCTAGTGGTTTTTTTTCCCCAAGTGAAATACTGAACATTTTATTTTGCATACTTTAAAATATTTAAAATAGGGCTTATTTCACTAAATTAAGATGTATAATTTACCAATTTTTCATTATAATACATGGTTTTTTTAGTTCAATACAATAAAATATGATTTGTTTTAAAGTGAGCAAGTAGTGAAGAAGAGATGTGGTGCTTTTCAAAGGATTCTTTCTTATTAATATTTAATTCTTCTGGCCAGGCATGGTGGCTCATGCCTGTAATCTCAGCACTTTGGGAGGCCAAGGCAGGTGGATCACTTGACACCAAGAGTTCAAGACCAGCCTGACCAACATGGCAAAACCCTGTCAATACTAAAAATAAAAAAAAATGAGCTGGGTATGTTGGCGCATGCCTGTGCTCCCAGCTACTCAGGAGGCTGAGGCACTTGAATTGCTTGAGCCTAGGAGGCAGAGGTTGCAGTGAGCCAAGATCATACCACGGCACTCCAGCCTGGGCAATAGAGCACGACTCTGTCTCTCTCTGTTTCTCTCTCTGTCTCTCTCTCTATATATAAACATATATATATATATATATATATATATATATATATATATATATTTCTTAAAAAGGCAAAACTAGCAACAGAGAGCAGATGAGTGGTTGCTTGAGCTGAGAGAGGGCAAGGAGATTGAGGGAACTTTTGGGGGCAATAGAAGGATTCTTAAATTTGATATATTTAACTCTTCTGTTATTCTTCACTTTAGCTTTTGCCTACTTCATCTGGATTACCACCAGGTTGGGAAGAAAAACAAGATGAAAGAGGAAGATCATATTATGTAGATCACAATTCCAGAACAACTACTTGGACAAAGCCCACTGTACAGGTACCCTGCAACCTATTAATTTACTTTCTTACAGGATTTAAACTGTCACATCCCTGTGTAAACTATTACATCACTTTATAGTATATACTGGATACTTCTAGCATGTCTTTTTTTTTTTTTTTTTTTTTTCAAATGGAGTCTCACTCTTGTCGCCCAGACTGGAGTGCAATGGCGCAATCTCGGCTCACTGCACCTGTGCCTCCTTGGTTCAAGCAATTCTCCTACCTCAGCCTCCAGAGTAGCTGGGATTACAGGCATGCGCCACCATGCCCGGCTAATTTTTGTATTTTTAGTAGAAAGAGGGTTTCACCATATTGGCCAGAATGATCTCAAACTCCTGACCTCAGGTGATCCACCCATCTTGGCCTCCCAAAGTGCTGAGATTACAGGCCTGAGCCACTGTGCCTGGCTGTAGCATCTTCAAATTATTTATTTTCTGACACTGATGCTAAGTGTCCACCATTTCCTGTGAATCTCTAATATACACAAATGACCACTTGCTATTATCTAAAACAAGTTCAAATGAGAATAAGAGGAAAAAGCAAATAATCTGGTCTTTGGGTATTTTTATAATTTGAATAGTTAAGATCATTATTTTAACTAAAACATAATCTTGGTGATTGGTATCTATTAAAGAAATTTATGCCGATAAAACCTCACCCTTGGCAACAGTTTCACCTGTAATATTTCCTTTTAAGTGTTTAGCAAAATATTTATTTTCTCTTATCACCGTATCTCATTGAGAAATTTTTTAACACTGAAAAGTCTAGAAAATAATATAGCAGAATTACCATCATTAATGTTACCATATTAATTCCTAGACATTTTATTTTTAAAAATAAAGTCTTACAGATTAACCTAAATTTCTTTTGGCCAAGCTCTTGGTTCCATTCCCCCGGGGGAACCACAGTCTTGAATTTGTTATGTATTCTTCTAGCCAATTTTATATACTTAAAGAGCTTAGAAAATGTAAATTAAAATTAGCTGGGTGCAGTGGCTGACACCCATAATCCCAGCACTTTGGAAGGGTGATCTGAGCAGATCATGAGGTCAGGAATTTGAGGCCAGCCTGACCAACATGGTGAAACCCTGTCTCTACTAAAAATACAAAAATTAGCTGGTTGTGGTGGCACGCGCCTGTAATCCCAGCTACTCGGGAGGCTGAGGCAAAATAATCGCTTGAACCCAGGAGGCGCAGGTTGCAGTGAGTGGAGATTACACCATTGCACTCCAGCCTGGGATGTACAGCCCAATGGTGTAATGGAGATTACACCATTGCACAACACAGTGAGACTCCATCTCAAAGAAAAAAAAGTAAAATATTGTTTATATGCCTGTGTTTCTAATTTTGCAACGAGGGAACACTCATTTTATAGAATGAGGTACTGCTTGATTAAAAAAAAACTTTTTTAAATTGATGTTGTGGCCCCATAAGTCTACAACTTTTTTTTGCTTAACATTGTTTTAAAGCTCTATGTAGTTATTTATAGATGCAGTGTATTTCTATTAACTACTAATATTCCATCATATGACTATATTACATTTCAGTTATCCACTTCTGTGGTAGATATTTATCATTCATTTTGTCTGTCTGACATTTGAATCTACTTCTGTGTATGAGGAATCCCCCATCCTATGAGTTTTGGGAGAATAAAGACAACCTCCTACTATAGGCACCAGAGCTTCACTTGCAGCTAGTGCTTGAGCTTGTGGAGCTCGCTCCCTCAGTCAGATGCACCCACAACAGACTGTTAACTGCTATCTCACTGCTTGAGAATTAGTTGAGAAATTATAAATTATTATTAAAATCGAATTTGACAAAATAGCTTATTGGAAAAATATTATTAAATGTAATACATTATTAAAATGTTGGGAAAATATTAATATGCCGTAACTACATTTGAAAATGAGCCTCAAATGTTCAGAGTCTCTTTAAAGGAGGATGTGTATTGCATTTGCAGGTTAAGTGCCTTTTTAACTGCTGCTATTTCTGAGTTCTCTATAAAATATTATGATATGATTTTGTAAATGTGCTAGGCCACAGTGGAGACCAATCAGCTGACATCAAGCCAGAGTTCTGCAGGCCCTCAGTCACAAGCTTCCACAAGTGATTCAGGCCAGCAGGTGACCCAGCCATCTGAAACTGAGCAAGGATTCCTTCCTAAAGGCTGGGAAGTCCGGCATGCACCAAATGGGAGGCCTTTCTTTATTGACCACAACACTAAAACCACCACCTGGGTAACTTTGATACTCTTCCATTTAAATTTATAACAACAATAATCATCTCTTATGTATAGTTCCTTATCATCTTTAAGTGTATATTAGTGTAACCTATGTTTTCTAGTATTCATTGAAAGATGTATTGAATTCTTAATAATAATATTTATATTTAGGAACATACTTACCCCTCTTTTTAATATTGTTTTGGATTATGATGGAGATACTCATGTTTACTTCCTATTTCCAGTTTTTAGCTCACTAGCCATAAATGCTTAGGAAGATATGTAGGAATAATCCTTTGCTTTTATATGAGGCTTTCTAGCTCCAAAGAACTTTTGAATCCCTATCTCATTTAATATCAAAAAACCTTGTGAGGCTAGGTGGAACAGGTTTTTTATTTTAAGGTAAGGCTTAAAGTTGTTTAGGGCTTGGCTTACCACTAGAAAAATTACTCAAAATTAGCAGCAGATGAATAAATTTTAATTAATTATTAAAAGACCAGCATACCTTAAATAATACTAAAATTATTTAATAAATTAATATTAAAATAATAATATATGTAAATTAAGCCAAATAAATTGAATTTTGTTCACATTTTTAACATTCTGAATTGACCTTTAATAACCTTTTTGGGCTTACCTTCCTGTTATTCAAAATATGAATCAACTTGAACAGAGCTGCCAAAATGCATGTTCTCGGGCTTAGACATATCACGTGGTCCAATTTAATGCCCCACTCTTTTACCAGTTTTTACATAGAGAAAACCCCTAAAGAGTGACACATTTCCTAACGAGCAGGGTAAAGAGGTGACCAGTTAGTGGTGATCCCTGAGAACTGATCCTTACTCCTTTTGATATTATAGCCTGAGAGTGATAGATTTCAGAGGAGAAAATACTATGTCACATATTTAGGAAATAAAATATGAAATGACTTTTACAAGAGCATATTTTAAATATCCATTGATATTAGAAAACATGGTAATAGACTGACTTTCATTATTTTGAAATTTGTGTGTGTGTTGTTCTTTATTTACTCTACCAAAAAAGGAAGATCCCAGATTGAAAATTACAGCCCATCTGAGAGGAAAGACATCACTTGATACTTCCAGTGATCTAGGGCCTTTGCCTGTAAGTGTATAGAAATGCTAACCTCTCTTACTTGGCTATCTCAAATATTTTGTATTTTGGAATATAGTAGTTCTTTATCAGCTATAATTAATCTTATTATTAAACTGTTCATACCTTCTAAGAATGGAATGGAACATGTGATTTAAATTAACCATACAATCAGTGCTGTTTGTCTATCCATACATCTAAAACCCTATTCTAAAATAATTGAAATACATTCTTAATTATAGCCAGGATGGGAAGAGAGAACTCACACAGATGGAAGAATCTTCTACATAAATCACAGTATGTTCATTATGATTTTTCATTATGTTATTTTTTAGAATAAATTTTATGTATGAGAAAGAACATCTTTTTTCTTTTTCTACCCTTCAGATATAAAAAGAACACAATGGGAAGATCCTCGGTTGCAGAATGTAGCCATAACTGGACCAGTAAGTCTCTCTGTACCAGTGTGCTCTGATGGGACTGTCCTCTCACCTGTCTCTTCAAGAGCAGATAGTCAAGGGCATAACCCTACAGACATTGAGAGGAAAGCACATTGGCCATTCTCTCCTCTCCCCTATTTACTACACTCCAAGTCTCCATTATTTGAAAAGATTCTATGACGTCATTACCCTTGCCCTGTGCAATAACTGTGGGAGACAAGTGAGCCAGACCGTCAGAATGGTAAGGCAGTGTGGGCTGTTGAGCTCAGTCTGGTGCCTGCCGCTGTCTGAACAAAAATGATGACAGTCCTCCACAAATCAGAGAGGAGCAGAGAGTGTATCTGGATGAGGACGCAGCAGCACCCTATCCACCCCAGGGTCATTCTTAAACTTTTTGATAGAAATTGGGCCCAGCTCATGCCTGTAACCCCAGCACTTTGGGAGGCCAAGGCAGGTGGGTCACCTGAGGTCAGGAGTTCAAGACCAGCCTGGCCAGTGTGGTGAAACCTTCTCTCTACTACAAATGCAAAAAAAAAAAAAAATTCCTGGGCTTGTTGGCAGGCACCTGTAGTCCCAGCTACTTGAGAGGCTAAGACAGGAGAATCGGTTGAACCCAGGAGGCGGAGGTTGCAGTGAGCTGAGACTGCCCCACCACACGCCAACCTGGGTGGCAGAGTGAGACTCTATCTAACAACAACAAAAAAAAAATTGTAAATGCCTCTATGAAAGACACATCCACATTTAAGTATAAATATTACTGTGTATGATAATTGTCCTACTCTTGAGTCAGTTTGACAGGATAATTTTTATCGTTTTTTTGTTTTTTTGTTTTTTTTTTTGAGGCGGAGTTTCGCTCTTGTTACCCAGGCTGGAGTGCAATGGCGCGATCTCGGCTCACTGCAACCTCCGCCTCCTGGGTTCAGGCAATTCTCCTGCCTCAGCCTCCTGAGTAGCTGGGATCACAGGCACGCACCACCATGCCCAGCTAATTTTTTGTATTTTTAGTAGAGACGGGGTTTCACCTTGTTGACCAGGATGGTCTTGATCTCTTGACCTCGTGATCCACCCATCTTGGCCTCCAAAAGTGCTGGGATTACAGGCTTGAGCCACCGCGCCCAGCCCTTTTATCGTTTTTTATAGCTGCTTTTTCCATTTTTGTTCAGATGTTTTCTAATTCATAAAAATAAGTAAAACTGAAGATAGAGGATTTTTTATTACTATTTACTATCTCAACATGTAGTCCTTTAAAATAAGGGCTAAATAAGGCAGCTTCCCAGAGTTCAAGGAAAAAGTATACTTCTCACGTTTTTCCTTTAATGGAGAAATCACTTCGAAAGTCTCTTTAGAAATGGACATTTTTCTTTCTAATATTTCTCTACTTGGAAGAAATTTCCTGTTTCTGGCATGTTACATTTTAAGAATATTGCATGATGAAAATTACAGTCATAGGAACTGCCGAATACAATTTTACCTTAAACAGAGAAATTAAACATTTTTAAGTTTTGTATTTGTTTTTCTTCTAATTAAACTTTTCTTTCCCAATAGTTTTCTTTTAATGCCCTTAACTTATGTTCATAAAATACCCAGCAGGGAACTTAAAAAATTGTTCCAGAATAAAAACAACCTAAACTTCTTTATTTTTCCAAAATTTTCAACTGAAGGCAGTGCCGTACTCCAGGGATTATAAAAGAAAGTATGAGTTCTTCCGAAGAAAGTTGAAGAAGCAGGTTAGTGATGTTTGTAAAAAATACTTAAGAGTCATCAATACATAGATGGAAAGTAAAGGGAAATGTTTTTTTTTTTTAAGTAAGAATTTGTTCTATATTTGTAACAACTTTGACAAGTTTTTCATAGAAAAAAGATGCTCATTTTTTTGAATAGCTGTGATATATCACTACAGATCATAATTACTTTATGTCTTTATTTTTCAAGACATTTTATAATACAGAATAATGGCATTAAAAGTTTGCTTTCCAGAGCTCTAACCTGGGTGTCCTTGTGGAGTTTGTGGGGCTTGATCTTTGTAGAATCTGAGCAAGAGTGGCTCAGGCAATTATCTTCTAAGCTAGTCTTTCCTGTGTTGGAGGTCTCTGAATTTTTTATGACTTTGTTTTTTTCCAGCGATAGTCATTCATTCTCTACAGCTTCAAATGTAATCTCTCTGCATAATTTAAAACTGCAATCATGAGTGGAACTGTGCTCTTGTGACTTGTCTCCTTATGCTTATCAGTTATGTTCACTACACTTTTGCCCATAGTCACAAATGCACCATGTTTGGAACTAAACTTACCATCTGCCCATCTATTTCATTTCTGTTGGTATCTATTAGTTTTACTGCCTCTCAATTTGCTCATCCTGTCCTCCGTTGCCTGCACTTTAGGAATACTACCACTAGGTGGCCATATTGGGTTATACCTTCTTGCATTCTAAGCCAGAAGCCTGCTTTCACAAAGATTCAAGATGGTGGGTAGGCTACCTCAAATTTTCACCCACATTTTTTTTTTTCCTGAGACGGAGTTTCGCTCTTGTTACCCAGGCTGGAGTGCAATGGCACGATCTCGGCTCACGCAACCTCCGCCTCCTGGGTTCAGGCAATTCTCCTGCCTCAGCCTCCTGAGTAGCTGGGATTACAGGTGTGCACCACCATGCCCAGCTAATTTTTTGTATTTTTAGTAGAGACGGGGTTTCACCATGTTGACCAGGATGTTCTCGATCTCCTGACCTCGTGATCCACCCGCCTCGGCCTCCCAAAGTGCTGGGATTACAGGCTTGAGCCACCACGCCCGGCCCCAAATTTTTAACAAAAATAAAACATGGTAGTTTTTAAAGACTAAATATTTTATGCCTTACTAAAATCCATAAATAGCATCAACTTTCTAAACTTGTTTTTAAGAATAATTTTCTGGGCCAGGAGTGGTGGCTCACGCCTGTAATCCCACCACTTTGGGAGGTTGAGGTGGGTGGATCACTTGAGGTCAGGAGTTTGAGACCAACCTGGCCAACATGGTGAAACCCCATCTCTACTAAAATACAAAAATTAGCTGGGCGTGGTGTCGCACGCCTGTAATCCCAGCTACTCAGGAGGCTGAGGCAGGAGAATCACTTGAACCCAGGAGGTGGAAGTTGCAGTGAGCTGAAATCACTTCACTGCACTCCAGCCTAGGTGAGAGTGAGACCCTGTCTCGAAAAAGATGAAAAAAGAAAGAAAGAAGAGTAAAAATTTCCCTGGAAAAATTTCTGCTTCTAGACTTTGGGATTTTAAATGTTTGTTGATTTATTGTTCTGGTAAATATTTTCATTCTTAATGAGAACATGCTGGGGAATAGAAGTACTAGCTTCTCCATTTTTTGCCACTCTGAATGCTTGACACATGTTATAGTATCTGATTGTTAATGTCTTCCAAGCAGCAGGCGATGGGAGGCAGTCCCATTACAGGCTACAAAATACAGAAATACAAAATACAAAAAAAAAAAAAAAAAACTTTAAAAAGCACTGATGGCCGGGCGCGGTGGCTCAAGCCTGTAATCCCAGCACTTTGGGAGGCCGAGGCGGGTGGATCACGAGGTCGAGAGATCGAGACCATCCTGGTCAACATGGTGAAACCCCGTCTCTACTAAAAATACAAAAAATTAGCTGGGCATGGTGGCACGTGCCTGTAGTCCCAGCTACTCAGGAGGCTGAGGCAGGAGAATTGCCTGAACCCAGGAGGCGGAGGTTGTGGTGAGCCGAGATCGCGCCATTGCACTCCAGCCTGGGTAACAAGAGCGAAACTCCATCTCAAAAAAAAAAAAAAAGAAAAAAAAAAGCAGTGATATTTATTCATCTCTCACTGCATGCCAGGCATTATTCTTAGAAGTTTACATGTTATTCATTTAATCTCTACAATAACTCTGTAAGGAAGGGAGTACTATCACATTTCACAGATGAAGAAACTGAGGCACAGAGAGACTAGGTAATGTGATCAAGTCCCATGCTTAAGTAGAAAAGCCAAGTGGTCTAGCCCCAGATCCCGTGTTCCTAACCAACATGACATATCATGTTAGTGATTAAGAAAATTAAGAGAGAAGTTAATTTTTGTGGAAATGACCCAGAATGCAACAAAGGTATGTAAGGGATAAACATACAAAAGAAAGGTTCAAAGACATGAAGTCATTCCAGAAGGAGGGGACCAAGATCATGAGGAGGAGAAGGCTAAGAATATGAATTCTCACATTAATAAAAGGGCCCAAGCAGGATTTTAAGAATCTGTATCTAGACACATCACAGCAAAAGAGCAGAACATTAAGAACACTTAGAATGTCACAAAGTGTGGCACCAAAACAGAGATAAAGAATATTAAAAACACCAGGTACAGTGGCTCATGCCTGTAATCCCAGCACTTTGGGAGGCTGAGGCAGGAGGATTACTGGACCTCACGAGTTCAAGGCTGCCCTGAGCTATAATCATGCCACTGCACTCCAGCCTGGATGACAGAGCAGTACTCTGTCTCAAAAATAATAATAATTAAAACCAGTGATTGAAAGCCATGCGCTGTCTTTAACCTTTTCATCTTCCTTATCCTCAACATTTCGTAGGAATAATGATAGCTAATAATTACCATGTGCCAGATACTGTGTAAGCATTTTTACATTTTAATGATGCGAGTAGCTATCATTATTATTCCTATTTTATAGTTGAGGAAATTAATCCTTAGAAAAGACATGTAACCTGCCCAAAGTCTCACACCTAGTGAATGGTGGAGTCAGAATTTGAACACAGGGCCAGATTCCAGAATGCATGCACTTGTCTATTACTCAGTTCAAACACGGAAGTTTCTCCTGTAGCCCTCTCTTCTACCGCCGTTGCTCCTTCACACATCCCTTTGTGTTCTCTCACTGAGCTGTTCCAGGGGTCTTTTTTTTTTTTTTTTTTTTTTTTTTGAGACAGAGTTTTGCTCTTGTTACCCAGGCTAGAGTGCAATGGCACGATCTCGGCTCACCGCAACCTCCGCCTCCTGGGCTCAGGCAATTCTCCTGCCTCAGCCTCCTGAGTAGCTGGGATTACAGGCACGCACCACCATGCCCAGCTAATTTTTTGTATTTTTAGTAGAGACGGGGTTTCACCATGTTGACCAGGATGGTCTCGATCTCTCGACCTCGTGATCCACCCGCCTCGGCCTCCCAAAGTGCTGGGATTACAGGCGTGAGCCACCGCGCCCGGCCCCAGGGGTCTTTAACTGACCAGTGTGCCTGTTGTTTCTCCTTAAAACTGTTCTTTATACCCTGTCCCATCAGCTTATGAGAACCCAGCGATCTGAACGTGTGGCTCCCCTGCTCAGAAACTCTCTTCTCGACTGCATTCACACTGTCCACCCTCTCCCGTAGACTACTTTTTCACATTTTTTTCGCTATAATCCCTGCTTTCTTTCCCTTCCTTTCCCTTCTCCTTCTGTACTCTCTAGGTATTAAATATATCAGACCCCTCATGTATGCTGTTCATCCTTCCCTCTTTTTCTCTCTGTCTAAAGACTTCCTCTCAAAGCCTTCTTGATTGCCTCATTTCAAGTCAATAGCTCAGTCTTTTATGCCCTGCAGAACACTGCTTACATCTCTATCATCAGCAATTATTCTCCTATTTTAAGTCTCAGAAATAGAAGCATTTACACTTGTTTTTCACATATGCACCAGATTAGAAACTCCTTGAGGAAGCAACATTTTACAGCCAGTTTGTATTCCCTTTATTCCCCATCCCTGGCTGCTACAATACCACCTGGCCCAGAGTGGGCCTTTGATAAATGCTTACCTGCTCCCGCTGCCTAGTATCCAGTCTAAAAGTGCTTTTCTGCAAGCTTACCATTTTTTAAATGACATAAGCAGTAGAGTAAACTGCTCATATCATGCTTATGTTGCTTATATCAACTGCTAACACTGTCATGTCTCTATAAGGCTTCTCATTTGCTCTGAATAAATTGAGAATAAAATTTTTTTTTTCCTTAGAGCTAACCTTCTTTTTCGGAGGTGACAGAATGTTGATGGCATGTTTTCTCTTACTAGTTTCCCCTGGAAATTTGGCCATGAAGTACAGAGGAATGAAATATTTAGACGTATCTTTTGTAAAATTTACAGTAAGGTCTGCCTAAAGCATAGTTACGTACATTTGTCATGTAAGCAAAGAATGTACGAAAGATTAGTGAGGCAATGTTGCTCCATTAATTAAGAGCACAGACCCAGGAGTTAAAACTTTTCTTAAGTTGTCTTCTTCAGTTTTATGTGTAAAATGAAGACAATAATAGTAGCTTTTGCATAGTGGTGTTGTAAGGTTAAAGGAGTTAACCGCCTCCCCGCCCGCCGCCCCGCGTGCCTGGCTGTATTCGTTTGTTTTCACGCTGCTGATAAAGACATACCCGAGACCGGGCAATGTACAAAAGAAAAAGGTTTATTGGACTTACAGTTCCACATGGCTGAGGAGGCCTCACAATCATGGCGGACGGCAAGGAGGAGCAAACCATATCTTAGGTAGAGGGCAGCAGGCAAAGAGAGCTTGTGTAAAGAACCCATCAGATCTCATGAGACTCATTCACTATCGCGAGAACAGTGCAGGAAAGACCCGCCCCCATAATTCATTCATCTCCCTCTGGGTTCTTCCTAAGACACATGGAAATTGTGGGAGTTACAATTCAAGATGAGATTTGGGTGGAGACCCAGCCAAGCCATATACGGCACAATCTGTGAGTGTCAGCATCTGTGAATGAGTGAAAGAGGATAGACTCCAGGGAGGAAAGGTAGAGATAGGGAAAACCCTGAACAGATGGGCAGGTGACAACTAGCAGCAGTGGCTATCCTACAGGCCACAGAATGGCGTTCACTGGAACTTAATATGAAAATGACTATTAATGAAATGGCTTCATGGGGGCATTACCATCACCATCAATAGCTTCTTTAGGCCGGGGACTGTGGCTCATCCTTGTAATCCCAGCACTTTGGAAGGCCAAGACAGGAAGATTGCTTCACCTTAGGAGTTTGAGACCAGCCTGGGCAAGATGGCAAAACCTCACCTGTACAAAAACGTTAAAAATTAGCCAGGCATGATGGCATGCTTCTATGGTCCAGTTACTTAGGAGGCTGAGGTAAGAGGATCACTTGAGCCCATGAGGTCGAGGCTGCAGTGAGCCATGTTCACACCACCGCACACCAGCCTAGGCAACAGAACTTTCTCCAAAAAAGAAAAAAGAAAAAGCTCCTTTAGATATAGAGAAGTCTATATTAGTAAGTAATTAGAGAAAATGCAAGAACTCTCTCATACCATCGAGGAAAGCAAGACAATATACCTAGTTGTGTTTGCCCTGAGTATATTACGTAAGGAAAAAGAGACTTAGACACAGGGTGTAGAGGCAATGTTATAATTTTATGAGAGACAGGTTTGTTACTATGTTGAACTGATTTAAACCATAAGTCTCTCCTCTGGGTTTTCAGAATGACATTCCAAACAAATTTGAAATGAAACTTCGCCGAGCAACTGTTCTCGAGGACTCTTACCGGAGAATTATGGGTGTCAAGAGAGCAGACTTCCTCAAGGCTCGACTGTGGATTGAGTTTGATGGTGAAAAGGGATTGGATTATGGAGGAGTTGCCAGAGAATGGTTCTTCCTGATCTCAAAGGAAATGTTTAACCCTTACTATGGGTTGTTTGAGTATTCTGCTACGTAAGTAACTTTAAAATGACTATATGCAGAAAAAGAAAAATCGTGGTTTTAGAAGTAAGAGTCATGCAATATGAGGAAAATGTATGTCATGCCAGAAAAGGGCAATTTTAACTGATGTTTCAGAAGTGACTTTAAAAAGTTGTGGTAAAATACACATTACATCAAATTTATCATTTTAACTATTTTAAATACACAATTTAGAGTCGTTAACATACATTCACATTGCTGTGTTGCCATCAGCACCATCCAACTCTAGAACGTTTTCTTTTTTCATCTTCCCAAAATGAAACTCTGTACCCAGAAAGCACTTGCTCCTCATTCCCTGACAGCCACCATTCTACTTTCTGTCCCTATGAATTTGACTTTTCTGGGTACCACACATAAGTGGAATCATTCACTATTTGTCGTTTTTTGACCAGCTCATTTCACTTAGCATGATGTCTTCAAGGTTCATCTATGTTGTAGCATGTATCAGAATGTCCTTCCTTTTTAAGGCTGAATAATATTCCATTATTTTTACATATAATACTTTGTTTAGGCCGGGCACGGTGGTCTCACACCTGTAATCCCAACACTTTGGGAGGCCGAGATGGGTGGATCATGAGGTCATGATTTTAAGACCAGCCTGGCCAACATAGGGAAACCCCGTCTTTACTAAAACTGTGCAAAAATTAGCTGGGGGTGGTGGCAGGTGCCTGTAGTCCCTGCTACTCGGAGGCTGAGGCAGGAGAATCGCTTGAAGCTGGGAGGTGGAAGTTTCAGTGAGCCGAGACCATGCCATTGCACTCCAGCCTGGGGGGACAGAGGAATACTCCATCTCAAAAAAAAAAAAAAAAAAAAAAATTGTGTAAACATTCATCTGCCAAAGGACATTTGGGTTGTTTCCACTTTTTGACAGAAATTACTATTTTTAAAACCATTAAATCCAGTGGAGGAATGTGGTTCTAACACTAGTAAACAATTCTTAAAAGAGGAAGATTTTTTATAATTATTTGTCATATTAAAGTTTTTCAAATGGAGTATTTAAATGGAATTGTCTTTACAGGGACAATTATACCCTGCAGATAAATCCAAACTCTGGGTTGTGTAATGAAGATCACCTCTCTTACTTCAAGTTTATTGGTCGGGTAGCTGGAATGGCAGTTTATCATGGCAAACTGTTGGATGGTTAGTATTAAGTCTAAACTTTTTACAGTGTAATTACCTGTTTTCTTTCACTTGGTAATCATCCTAAACGTATTTGGTTTTTTGCAAGGTTTTTTCATCCGCCCATTTTACAAGATGATGCTTCACAAACCAATAACCCTTCATGATATGGAATCTGTGGTATGTCTTTTTTGCTTATAGTATAGAGGAAGCATAATTTAACAAGCAACTTGAGCATTTTAAAGATTTTTATTTTAATGATATGGAAATTAATAAATTATCATGTTCCAAAATACAAATGAACTTTTTCCTCAACATTTTACTATGAAAATTTTCTAATGTATAATAAAGTTGGAAGAATTTTACACTGGACACTTCTATATCCACTACTCACAATTGCATTGTTTTCTAGATTTAGTTTATCACATACCTGTCTGTCTATCCATCAACCTATCTTAGTTTTTTCATGCATTTCAGAGTTACAGTTATCAAGTTATAGGTATCAGTAAACATAAATACTTCAACAGGTTATACAAGTTATGTATCTTTTGAATTAGTATTTGAAATATGATGTTTTAGGATGAATGGTGTGTATTTTTTAAATGGCAGTCGAAAGGCAAGGCATTATGGTTAGGCTCCTAGAAAGAAACAGAAGCCCAAGGATTCCCCCCCGACTATAGCCAGGTTGTTTCCTGTGCTGCTGAATAGCTTCACACAATGTGTGTTCCCATGAATTCTAAGGCATCTTCTTTAGTACCAAGTTCATTTTTTATTCTTCGCTTGTTACATATTTACAGCACAAACAATGTGATTCTTTATTATTCTTAAGATTGCACAGTTATTTGATTTGGTTCATTGAGCCTCTATATTTATTTAGAGATTTTTCTTTAACTCTGGCTGGGTATAAATAATGGCCTCCTCATAGCTACTTAAACATTTCACACACAGGGCTGGACACAGTAGTGCACGACTATAATCCCAGCACTTTGGGAGGCTGAGGTGGATGGATTACTTGAGGTCAAAAGTTTGAAACCAGCCTGGCCAACATGGTGATACTCTGTCTCTACAAAAAAATACAGAAATTTAGCCGGGCATGGTGGTGCACGCCTGTAGTCCCAGCTACTTGAGAGGCTGGGGTAGGAGGATCACTTGAGCCTAGGAGGTCGAGGCTGCAGTGAGTGATGATCACGCCACTGCACTCCAACCTAAGTGATAGAGTGAGATCCTGTCTCAAAACAAAATTAAATTAAAAAATAAGAATAAATAAAACATTTCACACACAGTCACATAGGCATGTGAGGAATGTGCTAAGTGCTCCTGGATATCTACAGAAGTTAGGTTTTATCTGAAAACTTTTTGATTCACTCCTTTAACTGGATAATAAATTCTGTGCCTCCACTGCTTCCACATAGACATAGATTCTGAACTTTTAAGTAGGCACCACTTGATTGATTGATAAATACATTTTTATTCTTGCCCTTACCTGTCATCCACTCTTTTTGTAATATGTGCATGTGTGTAAGGAAAGGATGTCCTTCTGACCTCTCATCTTTTACCCAATTATTCAGACCCTGTGCATACTGGTTTTTGCAATTTCAGGTGTGTTATATATATAAATTTTAAATTTGTAATTTTTTCTATCTAGGATAGTGAATATTACAATTCTCTAAGATGGATTCTTGAAAATGACCCAACAGAATTGGACCTCAGGTTTATCATAGATGAAGAACTTTTTGGACAGGTTTGTGAATTTTGATGAGTTAAAATGGCACATAAATTGTGAAACAAATGTTTAGATGTTAATACATATGCTTAATACTTTTCTGTGCTCTACTTTTACACTTAGTTTCCAGTAACAAAAGCTGTCTCTCAGCAAGAATTTGCGCTTTCTTTGACATTTGACTCATTCCATATTGTAAAATCAATATTTTAAGTTTTCTTAGCTTTTAGCTTTTGACTGGACTTAATTTAAAACACCAGGTTTCTTGTATAACTACAATATGTATACTTTAAAATTTTTTCTCACTAAAATAACATACTAAGGCATTGTGTTTAATTTTAGACACACCAACATGAGTTGAAAAATGGTGGATCAGAAATAGTTGTCACCAATAAGAACAAAAAGGAATATATTTAGTAAGTATTTTATTGGACATAATTTTATACTTTATTCCGAAAAGCCTCATCTTACCATCTTTCTCTGTCCCATTGGCCAGAATTCCAGTGTTCTTTTTCTCTCTCTATTCCAATTTGGTAGCAAGCACTCATATTCCGCTTTTGCCTTGGGCTCAGCTAGTCTTTGGTTTCTGTTTCTAACTGGAATAATTGTGCCTCCGAATTTTGTCTTGGTTCACATGAAAATGAAATGTTTCTTTTTAGTCTTGTAATACAGTGGCGATTTGTAAACCGAATCCAGAAGCAAATGGCTGCTTTTAAAGAGGTATTTATTTTCTTTTATTTGCTCTTCCATAATTTCACAGTATAACCCATAAGTTTCAAATATTAGGGCTCATCACAGCTGAGAAAAATAAGCATATGGCTTGTTTTGTGAAATCATTCTAAATTATATTTTTGTATTAACTAACTATTCCATTCATTCATTCAAGAAGTCTAGACAATAGACATTGAAAGGTCCCCTTCCTCCAGGCATTTTCCCAACTCCATTCCCTTCACTGTAGGACAGCAAAAGAACAAGAGTGCTGTAGGGATAGTGTAACATATTTGTTTTTCTAAATAGGATCACCTTATACATTTTGTTTTGTGAGTTACTTTGTTGTTTTTTGTTGTTGTTGTTGTTGTTGTTGTTGTTGTTGTTGAGACAGAGTCTTGTTCTGTTGCCAGGCTGGAGTGCAGCAGCCCGATCTTGGCCCACGGCACCCTCCACCTCCTGCATTCAAGCGATTCTCCTGCCTCAGCTTCCCCAGTAGCTGGGACAGGCATTCCCCACCATGCCCAGCTAACTTTTTTTTTTAATTAATTAATTAATTTTTTTTTTTTTTTTTTGAGACGGAGTTTCGCCCTTGTTACCCAGGCTGGAGTGCAATGGCGCAATCTCGGCTCACTGCAACCTCAACCTCCTGGGTTCAGGCAATTCTCCTGCCTCAGCCTCCTGAGTAGCTGGGACTACAGGCACGTGCCACCATGCCCAGCTAATTTTTTGTATTTTTAGTAGAGACAGGGTTTCACCACGTTGACCAGGATGGTCTCGATCTGTTGACCTCGTGATCCACCCGCCTCTGCCTCGCAAAGTGCTGGGATTACAGGCGTGAGCCACCACTCCCGGCCACTTTTTTTTTTATCTTTAGTAGAGATGGGGTTTCACCATGTTGGTCAGGATGGTCTCGATCTCTTGACCTTGTGATCCACCTGCCTCAGCCTCCCAAAGTGCTGGTATTACAGGCGTGAGCCACCGCGCCCTCTGCTTTTTTTGTTGTTGTTTTTTTGTTTTTGTTTTTTAGACTAAAAGGACTAGATTGATTGGCCACTCTGTCGCCCAGGCTGGAATGCAGTGGGGAAATCTCGGCTCACTGCAACCTGCACCTCTTAGGTTGAAGTGATTCTCCTGCTTCAGCCTTCCTGAGTAGCTGCAGTTAACAGGCACCCACCACCATGCCTGGCTAATTTTTGTATTTTTAGTAGAGACAGGGTTTCACTACGTTGATCAGGCTAGTCTCAACCTCCTAACCGCCTTGGCCTCCCAAAGTGCTGGGATTACAGGCATGAGCCACCGTGCCCAACCTACTTTCTTTTTTTAATCAGATATTTATTGGGGATATTTACATGTGGAGACATATAGCTGCCCTTTCTATATGAGGAGGCTGAGGCAGGAGGATCACTTGAACCCAGGAGTTCAAGACCAGCATGGACAACATAGGGAGACCTTATCTCTACCAAAAATTAAAGATTAGCCTTGTGTTGCGGTATGTGCCTATGGTCACAGCTACTTGGGAGGTTGAGGATGGAGGATCACTTGAACCTGGGAAGTTGAGGCTACAGTGAGCTATGAGCTATAATGGCACCACTGCACTCAAGCCTGCGTGACAAAGTGAAAACTTGTCTCTAAAAAAAGTGTGTGTGTGTGTGTGTGTGTGTATCACTTTTTCATAAATTCAGTATTGAATGCTGTGTGTATGGTGCTGTACCAGGCCAAAAGGCATAGGTCCTGCTATCAAGGGATGTATGCTGTAAAGAGTGAAATGGGGCCAGGCACAGTGGCTCACGTCTATAATCCCAGCACTTTGGGAGGCTGAGGCAGGCAGATTACAAGGTCAGGAGTTTGAGATCAGCCTGACCAAATGGTGAAACACCATCTCTACTAAAAGTACAAAAATTAGCTGGGCGTGGTGGCATGCATCTGTAATTGCAGCTACTCAGGAGGCTAAGGCAGGAGAATCTCTTGAACCCAGGTGGCAGAGGTTGCAGTGAGCTGAGATCGCGCCATTGCCTTCCAGCCTGGGCGACGGAGCAAAACTCTGTCTCAAAAAGAGAAAAGACAAAAAGAGTGAAATGAACAGAGGCAAGCATAAATGCTAGGAGAGCACAGAAGAAAAGTACAAATCAGGGAGGGGCAAAGGAAGGAACAAAGAAGGACTAGAGGGGTTGGCCAATCATGGAGAGGAGGGAAATGCAGTTCTAAGCAGCAGGAGCAGCGTGTGTGAAGTCTGGCAATAAGGTAGGCTATACCCACAGGCAGTTGAGTATGCTGGCTGAGAGAATGCAAGAGGGGATCAATAAGCCTGCAGAGCTAAGAGACCAGCTTATAAAAGGCCTGTGTGTGAATCAGTAGAGTTAGGAGTTTTCTCTGAATTTCCAAGGAAGGTAGCATTAAAGGCTATTAACCAATAAGACACCAGGATTCAATTTATGTTTTAGATCATTCTGAAAGTGCTATGTAGAGGGAGTTAGATGAAAGCAAGACTAGCAGCAGACTTCCCAGCAGAGTTGGGAAAGTGCTACAGTAATCTTGGTGAGAAATGGTAAGGAATTAAGGGAATGGTGGGGGAACTGTGATAGGAATGGTAAGGGAATGAAGATAGTGGTGCTGATAAGAGCTACCTGTGCATTTGACTGTCATTCAGGAAGGGAGACTTAGAGGGTAGAGATGTTTGGTTTTGGGGATTATCTGCCTATGCGTAGTGAAGCAGTGAACTCGGTAAGATGGAAAATGTGAAAGGGCAGTGAAAGTGGATGGCCTCACATGTGGAGAGAGACCTGGGAACACCAGCATCTTAACTCTTGTTTTGAAAGGAAGGTTTATGAATGGACAGTTTAGAGCATGGCAGGGGGGCGGGCCGGAAAGGAAACAGCAAAGGAAATTAACAAAGGCAGACAAGGGTATCAAGAGCAGACAGGGTTTCAATAGCAAAGATGTTCTTAATCATACTGCAAAGAAGTCAAATACGATAAGGAATTAAAAGTGTTTATCAGATATACCTACAAAGCTGTCCTTGACTTTTTCCAGAACAATTTCAAGGAAGCTGTAGTGTAAAGATCAGATGGCAGTAGGTTGAGGGTTAGGTGGGAGGTGAGTGAGTGGATTTGGTAACTGCATGGCATTGCGAAGAACTTGGCTGTGAAGGGAAAAAGAGTCATTAGGGTTTTTTGTTTGTTTGCTTGCTTTGTTTTAACAAATTTTAATGCATACAGAGTAAGCCAATAAAGAGAAAGAGATCTAGTAAGATGACCTCCCTGAGGAGCAGGTGAAACACAGGTGCAGGCCTAGCCCGAAAGAGGAGGTGGGACCTTTCTTTTCCAATGCAGTGGGAAGGAGGCCACGATGGGTGTTGGTGATGGTTGGGACGCAGGGATGGAGAAGCTTGAGGGAGTTCCATCATGCATACTTGCTTCTCTTTTCTTTTCTTTTTTTTTTTTTTTGAGACAGTCTCACTTCGTTGCCCAGGCTGGAGTGCAGTGGTGCGATCTCGACTCACGGCAATTTCCGCCTCCTGGGTTCAAACGATTCTCCTGCCTCAGCCTTCTGAGTAGCTGGGGTTACAGGTGCGTGCCACCACACCCGGCTAATTTTTCTTGTATTTTTAGTAGAGATGGGGTCTCATTCATGTTGATCAGGCTGGTCTTGAACTCCTGACCTCGTGATCCGCCCACCACAGCCTCCTAAAGTGCTGGGATTACAGGTGTGAGCCACCGCACCCAGCCACTTGCCTCTGTTTTCTCCCAAATAGAACTTATCTACTGTAAAGAAGGGGTGATATGGAGGCCTGAGAAGGATGAGAAATTTGTTTTTTGTTGTTGTTGTTTTGAGAAAGGGTCTCAGTTTGTCATCCAGGCTGGACTACCTCAACCTCCCCAGTAGCTGGGACTACAAGTGCACATCACCATGCCTGGCTAATTTTTGTATTTGTAGAGATGGGGTTTCACCATTTCCCAGGCTAGTCTCAAATTCCTTGACTCAAGCAATCTGCCCACCTGAGCCTCCCAAAGTGCTGGGATTACAGGCATGAGCTTCCGCGCCTGGCCATAGAGTTTGAAAACAGCCACTTTGAGGAATAAATGAGAGAGAACAGACTGTGCACATGTACATTGTCTGACCAATATTGAGATCTCAGGGAAGAGCCCGTGATTGTGTAGTGGTAGAAACTTGTGTGGATGTGTGATTCCTCCATTGGAACCCAGAAGCTGAAACACAGGAAAGGCCATTGGCCCTGCCCATCAGGTTTTTAAATACGTTTTTCTTCTAGGGATTCTTTGAACTAATACCACAGGATCTCATCAAAATTTTTGATGAAAATGAACTAGAGGTAAGATATAACATTCCTAACATTTTATGGTAAAAGAGAAATTTTGAACCCATTATTTTCCTTGTTTATGATTTGACATTCCTTACGTAGCTTCTGATGTGTGGACTGGGAGATGTGGATGTGAATGACTGGAGAGAACATACCAAGTATAAAAATGGCTACAGTGCAAATCATCAGGTTATACAATGGTTTTGGAAGGTAATTGGAAACTTCTATTTTTGTAAATTACTTTTTGATAGATTTAATTATATCTAAGTCAACTCTTGATTCACTGTACTGGTATATAACTGATACAGAAAAAATATATAGACCATCAAAAATTATCTTTCCTTTTGTACTGTATACATGCACCTGCTGGGACTATAACTATTACCAGGTAAGTAAAATGTTCAGAAGGTAGTAAGTAGAATGACAGGCAGAGACAGTTGCTTAGTTTCCTACTAAAGTAGGGACTCTGAAAGAACTTGTAATAACCTGCAGGATATTCCTAGGGACTCTTGGATGTCTCTTTTAAAATTTCTGATAGAAAAATATGCATGCCATTCAATAATATTAATATAATGTGGTTTTTGGGTTTTTTTTTCTTTCTGAGACAGAGTCTTCCTCTGTCTCCCATGCTAGAGTGCAATGGCACAGTCTCAGCTCACTGCCACCTCTGTTTCCCAGGTGCAAGCAATTCTTCTGCCTCAGCTTCCCAAGTAGCTGGAATTCCAGGCCTGCACCACCATGCCTGGCTAATTTTTGTATTTTTAGTAGAGATGGGGTTTCACCATGTTGGTCAGCCTGGCATCGAACTCCTGGCCTCAAGTGATCTCTCCGCCTCAGCCTCCCAAAATCCTGGGATTATAGGCATGAGCCACTGCACCTAGCATATAATTTTTAAAAGCCTTGAGTCACATCTGAAAATAAATGTTTTTAGTTCACTAGGTTATAATCCCATTCTAAGAAGTTGCCATATAGCCTTAGAAATAAAATTTTCAAGAACTTTGTAAGCCACCCATAAACAAAAATTTAATTAAAAGAAATATGCAAATCTAGTAAGGGATTATTAATATTCTAACTAAATTCCAATTGCTTATCCTAAAATTATTTGTTTACCCTTTTTTCAGTGCTGTTCCCTAAATTATGTTTTTATCTTATTCAGGCTGTTTTAATGATGGATTCAGAAAAAAGAATAAGATTACTTCAGTTCGTCACTGGCACATCTCGGGTGCCTATGAATGGATTTGCTGAACTATATGGTAAGGATTTTCCATAAATCATTAAAAAAGGGAGTGATGCCTATTGTCTTTTTCATGGCTGATGAATCCTCAAGCTTTTATCATTTACTAACATTTAGCTTAATTTTAAAAAGAATTAAGCTTTTAAAAGTGATATCATTAGAGACAGTGGAGTAGGCTAATATATAGTTACACCTTCTAGTCAGATAATAAAGGAGAAAACTGGAATCATCAGATGACTTGAGTCACTTTCTGTTCTTTAACTTCAAATTCTATGCCCAGTATGCTTCAGTTACAGAAAAAGCATTGCCTTGGCTGGGAGGCATGGCTCATGCCTGTAATCCCAGCACTTTGGGAGGCCAAGGCAGGCAGATTACTTGAGGCCAGGAGTTTAAGACCAGCCTGCCAACACAGTGAAACCCAATCTCTACCAAAACTACAAATATTAGCTGGGCTTGGTGGTATACACCTGTAGTCTCAGCTACTCAGGAAGCTGAAGCAGGAGAACTGCTTGAACCCAGGAGGCGCAGGTTGCAATGAGCCAAGATCGCACCACTGTACTCCAGCCTAGGCAACAGAGTGAGACTCTGTCTCAAAAAAAAGAAAAAGCATGACCTCTAATGTGGTAGTTCAGGATAGCATTTGAAGTTCCACAGAATGTTCATAAGTGTATTGAAAAAAAAAAAAACAAGAGTCATAGTAGAATACCTTTGAGGAAATGCTGTACTAAACAAAGTTAAATGGATTTCTTCAGGACTATGATAAGCTTTACTGTCAGAAGAAAACAAAAGCAATGTTTTCCAAACTTATTTAATCATGAAATCTTTTTTTGTTTTTTTTCCTTTCAAGTTAGGGGTGGAGAATCTCATTAGGCAACAGTTTTTCATTTATTGGGAGAAGCAGCAAGACTGGGCATAAGACTGCACATATCTCTTGATTTTCAGAATAATTAATGTAGTTTTCTATAAAGTAAGCTTCTATGTATTCTGTCAAATTATTTTCCAGTTGATGTATAAAACTGTAGGTGTGTTTTGTTTAAAAGTGCCATTTCTGGTATAGATCACAGCAACTTTTCTCACATTGATTCATACTCTGTTTATATTGGAATGATACTTGTTTTTAAGGACACCAAGAATCGAAGAATAAATCTTTAGAAAAGATGTAGCTAAAGTGAGAGCCCTATTCAGAACAACGAGTAAGATTAGGATTGTCCTGGGGACTAGAAGTCGGGGACTGTTGCCTAGGAATTTGCTAAACTGAATTTTTTAATGTAAATAGAAGCTGGCCATCTGATTGCTAAACCCTGCCTTCTCCATGTCAAATCTGGTCAGCTTGCTAAGCTTCATTAATGTGTGTTTGCAGAACCAGTCAAGCAACTGCTCCTTGTCTACGCAGAGTAACGATGCAAAGTGGCTAGCTTTGCCACTAACCAATTCAGTCATTCCTTGCCTAATTGGACTTCATAGCCTCTTTCTTTTTCATGGTTTCACTGGCTCCCCTTCCTTTATCTTCTCTACCTTAACCAGTTAGTAGAGAATAAAGGCAGGGCAAACAAATGCTCTTTTCCATCTCTGGCCTCTTCCTTCTTTGATGTAACCCAGGCCCATAACCCTCCACTGATTTCATGCGCCGTTTCAAATTTGGGACAAATATCCCACACATAGTGCCAGAGTTGTTTGTGTTAAAATATAAAGTCAAATTCTTATATATTTATAGAAAGAAGTAGAAGTTATTTCAAACTGTTAAAATTACAATGCAATATTAGATAGCCAATAAAAAGTATTTTAAGTCGGCTAGGCGCAGTGGCTCACTCCTATAATCCCAACATTTTTTTTTTTTTTGAAACGGGTCTCACTCTGTCACCCAGGGTGGAGTGCAGTTGCACAATCTCAACTCACTGCAACCTCTGCCTCCTGGGTTCAAGTGGTTCTCCTGCCTCAGCCTCCCAGGTAGCTGGGATTACAGGCACCTCTCACTATGCCCACCTAATTTTTTGTAATTTTAGTAGAGACAAGGTTTCACCATGTCGGACAGGCTGGTCTTCAACTCCTGACCTCATTATTTGCCTGCCTCGGCCTTCCAAAGTGCTGGAATTACAGGCATGAGCCACTGCGCCCAGCCCTTGACATATTTTTATGCAGGCATGCAATGAGTAAAAATCTCATCAGGGTAGATGGGGTATCCATCCCCTCAAGCATTTATCCTCTGTTACAGCCAACCCAATTATACTCTTTTAGTTATTATTAAATGTACAATTAAATTATTTTCTACTGTAGTCACCCTGTTGTGCTAGCAAATAGTAGGTCGTATTCATTCTTCTTAACTATTTTTTTGTACCAATTAGTCATCCCCACTTTCTTCACTCCCTACCCACTACAACCTTCCCAGTCTCTGGTTTCCATCTTTCTATTCTCTGGGTTTTTGTTTTGTTTTGCTTTGCTTTTGAGACAGAGTCTCACTCTGTTGCCCAGGCTAGAGTGCAGTGGTGCAATCTCAGCTCTTTGCAACCTCCACAACCCGGGTTCAAGCAATTCTCATGCTTCAGCCTCCCAAGTAGCTGGGACCACAGGCATGTACTACCACACCTGGCTAATTTTTGTATTTTTAGTAGAGACAAGGTTTCGCCGCATTGGCCAGGCTGGTCTCGAACTCCCGGTCTCAAGTGATCCGCCTGCCTCAGCCTTCCAAAGTGCTGGGATTATGGTTTGCTTGTTTGTTTGTTTGTTTGTTTAATTAGCAGGGCTAACTCATAGGTAGTATGCCCAGAGTCGGCCAGATTATTTGTATAATTCAAAAAAAAAATTAAAGCTATTTTCAGTGGTACTCAAAAAAGAAAGAAAATGCTTATTTACTCTTTACCTATGAGGGAAATTGTATATGGAAATGTAGTGTGTATAGAGCTAGGATACAGCAAAAGCATTGTCAGACATGCCACTCCACGTGTGATATGAAAAATGAACTGATAGACAAGGAATCCTAATTTCATGGCTGAACAATGAAGCCATCCAGCACAAGACTTCATCTCTTGAGTTTAAAGAAACCACATTAGAAAGCTAGGTATGGTGGCTCATGCCCGTATTCCCAACACTTGGGAGGCTGAATTGAGAGAATCACTTGAGGCCAGGAGTTCAAGACCAGTCTGGGCAACATAGTGAGACCCCCCCCCCATCTCTATAAAATCAATTTTTTATAAGTTAGCCAGGCATGGTGGTACACCCCTGTAGTCCTGGCTACTCAGGAGGCTAAAACAAGAGGATCACTTGAGCCCAGGAGCTTGAGGCTACAGTGAGCTTGAATCATGCCACTGCACTCCAGCTTGGGTGACAGAGGGATACCCCATGTCTAAAATATAAATACACTGGATTAGTTCCTTGTATGTGTAAGTTCTACACCAGAAAACTTCTGATACGCCCGGACATTCCTGTAGAGAGTAAATGAAATCAAATAAATGTTTCTTTATAGGTTCAAACGGACCACAGTTGTTTACAGTTGAACAGTGGGGTACTCCTGAAAAGCTGCCAAGAGCTCATACCTGGTAAGCAGTTGTTTGGACCTTGATAGAACAAAGCCTCAGAGAGTGAGGTTCCTCTGATTGTTCATCTAGCTACAGCAGGGCTAGTCTCCTCTGTTACTGGTGGCAGGTATAGATTATGGATAAGGAGGAGGCGGTAACACTAACCCAACGAACAAGTGTTTTGTTACCAAGTTGGCCGGGGCTTGAAATCCAGGTAGCTGAAGATCCGAGAGGCCCATTTAAACTGAGTGATGAGTGATGGGCCGTCCCAAGGGGGTCTAGAACATTCCATTTTGGAGGTTGAAATGGTAGAGGAACTCAGCCATTTGGAAGACATGGTAGAGGCAGGACTCCACAAGGAGTCGTGTGGAGCATCCATGCCCAGAACCCAGTCCTACATCTTACTTCTAGCCCTGATGAAAAGACATCGTTTGGTGTTGTTGGAACGTACTCTTCATGAATAGCAGTAACTGCTGTTTGCTGTGGTGGTACTTGCTTTGTCAGTGTCTTTGATAACCAGTTCCTCTCTGTTCTTTCAGCTTTAATCGCCTGGACTTGCCACCTTATGAATCATTTGAAGAATTATGGGATAAACTTCAGATGGCAATTGAAAACACTCAGGGTTTTGATGGAGTTGATTAGATTACAAATAACAGTCTATGGTGTTTTTACTGCCATAGTTTTATAAGCCAAATCGTGACTTAAAAGTTTCCAGGGAACTACTAAAACCTGGCCACTGATTCTTCCCAGTTCTTGAAGAAAATCATATAAAAAGCATTTGAAGAAATAGTATGACAACTTTATTTTAATCACTTTTAAATAATGTGTCGCATTTACACAGTTGTTTCATTTTGTCTTTAGAGTTCACACAATAGGATATAAGTCCTATATGACTTAAATGGTGAATTTTGTCCGTAACATTTACCTCTTGTATAGTATCTGCCAGGCAGTTTTTTCTTAAACTACTGAGATTATAACTGTGAAATATTTGTGATAAGTGTCATGTGTGAAAATGTTGATGCATTTTGAGATGGAAAACTGAAATTTGGAAAAAAAAAATACTATTGCATAAACTACAATATATTTAGTGCTACTTGCAGCTGTTTATTATTTTATAGACCTGCCTTATGCACCTTACTGCCTAGATTTTGGAAAAACCTTGGAAAGTGTGTTATCTATTTTTCTAGTCAACTAACTCACAGAAAAACAGTTTACTTCTTCACTTTCAAAGTATTTGGCTTTTTGTGAATATGCAGTTTTTACTAAACAGGTGATTCATAAGACATGTGAAGCAAGTCATTTTTGCAATGGGCAAAAAGTATTAAGGCCTTTCTCTTGCCTGCATATCCTTATGATCACTGGTGTAGTCATCATTTTTTCATATTTTAGTGTAGTTAGAAGAATTCCTTCTTCAAACATTAAAGATCCATAAAGCAGTATTTCTAAATATACCTTGAAGAACTAAATGAAATGTATATCACTTGCCTTTACTAGTCATTCTTTACACTTGTACAATTATGTAGTAAATGTATGTTTACAGGGTTTATTATGTTTACAGATTAAGCTAATTTCTGTAGTCGCATTTTTATATTTTTAGTATCACTCTAGTAAAAAAAAAAACCACATGATTTGTTTAAAATAACCAAAGAGTTGATATAATGCATAATTTGTATTAAATTTATTACTATATTTCTTATGCCTTTTGAAAATACTGTTTACTATGATGACAATGTTTTATTACTAATCCAAAACTCTGTAGGCAAAATGCTATAGGTTGAATCCTCCTTTAACCAAACTGAAATACATAAAGACCATGTGCATGCATTCATCAAACGTTTACTGAATGCTATATGCATAGTGCTGTGCAATGCCCTGGGGTAATATTTGTCAGCTTCAGAGATATTTGGCTGAGTCCTGATCCTCAAGGAACTTACGGATGTGTCAGTGAATCTGTAAAACAATCAAAAGTAGGGGTGAGCAGAAGAAGGTAAAAGGGAAAGTGTTCTAGGTTCCAGCGCACCTGCAAAGATAAGTGTGCCAAGACTGTATTTATATTTCGTACTTATATTGTTTTATCCTTATATTGGCATGATCATATAGAAAATGAGTCTTAAAAAGATGAAGCCTATTTCTCAGTATGGTATCTCAGTGATTTAGGAATAATTGTAAATATATGTTATGAATCTTCTTAAATATATATATTATATATGTTTTATATATAATATACATATTTTATGTATTTTATATATATATATATATACACCCTGTGAGAACTGTAAAAATTACTTCAGTTTCTTGGTTTAAGTTTGTTGGGCTATAACATGATGAGCACTCATTAGCATCTGTTAGAAATCTGAAATGTGACAGTAGCAAAACCACTTTTGACTTTCCAAACACCACATCGTCAGCATGGTTTAGGGGAAGCAATTCACAGATTAATGCACCCTGTATTTTGTCTTCACCATTGTTAACCAGCGGTCAGGCAAGAGCACCAGGTATAGTCCTGGTTTGATCTCTCACCAGCTGTGTGAACTGAAGCAGCTTACTTAACCTCTCTGGATTCCTGTTTCTTTATCTGTCCAATGAGAATAATCATACCCACCCTCATTGTCATGCCAGACTGTCATAAGTTCTAGAAAGAGGAGAAAGCAAAAAGTACGTTGTAAATTGTCACACAATCAGAAGGTGCTTTGTGCTGACCATCAGATTGTGTTGTCAGGTGTGCAAACTGACCAGGCTCCCAAAGAATCATCTAAAAGTAAAGTGACTTCTAAGAGACAAGGAAGTAGGAACATAGCCGATAATAAATACATAAATATCCATGGATACACGTGTCTATATATGGATCTTACCATCATAATTCGTTTTCTTCATATCAGCAAAGTAATAGTATTGTGGGCCAATGCATTCTGGAAATGTCCTCATTATGTAGAATGGAATATGAAAATTATTTTTGTTAAAACAGGATATTGCCACAATTGTTTAACTATCATTTTTGTGAAATATCAGAGCATAAGATACAAAGCTTTCTTTTTATCTGGCTGATGTTCATTTGGATGATTAAGTGAGTCATAGAAGATGGTGTTAATGAGAGTCACTCCCACCCTTCCCCAGCTGCAGACCTTCATCCCCTTCCTCTCCCACTGGGGGCTCATGGTCTGGAAGGAATCTGTATCAAGCAACATAGCCCCCTATCCCACATAGAAAAGTGTCTCAAATGCGTTCTACTGCTGGACAGTCAGTAGGATCATTTTCATAAAGCAAGGACATTGTATGTTTCTAGAAATTCTAAGCATATAACTTTAGCCTACAATCTCTAATTTAAAAATTTTAACATAAGACTGTATTACAAACGCATTTCATCAGAACTCAAATTTAAATGGTATTTGTTTTAGTTTTTTATTTATAATGCTGAAGTTATTCCATATAAGTATCAAGTTAAACACAATTCATTTTGATTACAAACTATTTGACTTTTTACAATCTTCTGATATGGTAAATATATATCAAGATTTATTGCACACTTTAAAGTATAAAGTCATTTTTTAAAATCTTGAGTCCACAAATAAAATTCTATTCTGATTAAAAAACAACAACAATGTGGTTCATTTTTAAATAGAAATGTTCCCGAGTCAGTACGCTGGGGGATGTCTTCTGGTCTAGTTCTTTACAGCAACATGTTAAATTATCAAGATGATCCTAAACGTATTACCTGATGAACTAACATGATTATAAACTCTCAACTACAGATCATCAATTTCCACTGTATGAAAAGGTCATATTCCAAAAGTCTGGCTTTAGTGAAATATCCAGAAGATAAAAATGATAGTTATAAATGAACTAGATTTTGGGCATCTTGCTGCTCATCAAAGAATCAAAGAAGCCAGTCATGTAGCCAACCACTATTTATAACATCATTTATATGCGAAAAAGAGTTATCAAGTATTAAATCAGAGCAAAGTGTCTTTTCCTCTTTCCTCTCAGGCATGAGAACTAGTTTCCCAGTTAGAAGGGAATCCATGCCCACCCACTCAAGCCAGCCTAGGAAGGTGCTGTTCCAGCCCCTTCTTTCTGCCGCAGTCCAGACCATAGCTTTTAATATTGAGGGCTCAGGCCACAGCCCTCTCCTTCCACCCTTCCTGTTCTAGCCAGCTTGGGCAGCAGCTAACCCACACCATGCCCCACCTGTACAAGAAGTCCTCACTTTGCTGTTCATCACAGCAGACATTTATTTTATAAATAATATTAAACTAAGGCATTAGAATGTCAGGACCTCACTATGAAGAAAGAGCCTCTGGATATTTTTGTGTATTTTCTTTGAAAGTTAAAGCCTATTACTATATTAGCCTCCTGTTTGTGTTCCACTCATCTCCATCACAATCAGTGTTACCTTTTTAGCACACAGATTTGATCAGGTGACTCAACTGCCAAAAAAAAACCTAAGAGCGCCTCAGAGCCAAAAGCCGGAAGCACAAACCCATTAGCATGGAGGTTCGTGTGGAATGCAGTCTATCCTCAGCCTAAGGTCTCAGTTCCACCTTCCATCATCCCTCACTCAGGCACCCTTGGTTCCCCTCCAAATCGGAGTCCTTCCAGCCCCTAATCACTGCAGACTCTTCGGTGCCGCCTGAATGCTTTCACTTCTCATGTCTGCTTGATAAGTTGCTCCACTTTCTGGACACAGCAGAAAGGTGCTGTGGCCTCAGCGGCTGGTCTATACTAGTGCGGATGACATTGCATTACAATTCTTTGTTTACATAATTCTGTTCTACAAACTTCTGGGCAGTTTGAGGACAAAGACAATTTTGTATACATCTTTTTCATATGTTCATTTCCCAATGCAAATATTTGATGAATTTGAGCTTTAAAATACTGTTTGTGTGTAGACTCCATTTGCGAGCACATATCATGTGCCTGGAACAGCAATAATGTGCAGGAGCTCTGTACTTAGGTGGACATTGTGGACTACATCAATATTCAAGCAGAGGTAGAGCTTGATTGAGATCCTGCTGAGTGCTGGGTTCTGCAGTAAACACTTTATGTGGATCTCATTTAATCTTCATAAAAACTCAGTGAGGCACGTTTTATAGGCTCAAGGACAAGTAATACAACTAAGGCCACACAGCTTGTAAACTCAGTGGATTTATGAACCACAACAAAGAAAAGCTATGGAATCCAACAAATTACCAAGATGTATCCGTTTTCTTGGGCTGCGCAACAAATTGCCATAAACTTAGCAGCTAAAAACAATACCTGTTTATTATCTCAGAGTTCTGTAGGTTAGAAGTCCACATGGTCTTAGCTTAGGGTTCTCTGCTCAGGATCTCACAAAGCCAAAATCAAGGTGTCTGGGCTGTTACCTGTGTTCAAGATCTTTCGGATTATTGACAGAATCCAATTCCTAGTAGCTGCAGGTCTGAAGTCCTTGTTTTCTCGCTGGATGGCAGCTGGGGGGCAATCTTAACTTTCGGATGTCACCCACATTCCTCATGGATTGGCCCTCTAACTCTTCAAGACAACAATGCCTCTCATGCTTCTTCGGCTGCCCTCTTCTGCCACCAGACAAAGGAAGTGCTCTGCATTTCAAGATTTATTTGAATAGATCAGGCCCACCTGAATGGTCTTCCTTTTCAAAAATTGACTGTATCAGCTGGGAGCAGTGGTTCACGCCTGTAATCCCAGCACTTTGGGAAGGTGAGGCGGGTGAATCACCTGAGGTCACGAGTTCGAGACCAGCCTGGCCAACATGGCGAAACCCCATCTCTACTAAAAATACAAAAATTAGCTGTGCATGGTGATGTGTGCCTGTAACCACAGCTACTTAGGAGGCTGAAGCAGAAAGTCTCTTGAACCAGGGAGGTGGAGGTTGCAGTGAGCCAAGATCGTGCCACTGCACTGCAGCCTGGGTGACAAAAGCAAAACTCAGTCTCAAAAAAGAAAATTGTAGCTGGGGGCGGTGGCTCAAGCCTGTAATCCCAGCACTTTGGGAGGCCGAGGCGGGTGGATCACGAGGTCGAGAGTTTGAGACCATCCTGGTCGACATGGTGAAACCCCGTCTCTACTAAAAATACAAAAAATTAGCTGGGCATGGTGGCTTGTGCCTGTAATCCCAGCTACTCAGGAGGCTGAGGCAGGAGAATTGCCTGAACCCAGGAGGCGGAGGTTGCGGTGAGCCGAGATCACGCCATTGCACTCCAGCCTGGGTAACAAGAGCGAAACTCCGTCTCAAAAAAAAAAAAAGAAAGAAAATTGTACCATAGGCAGAACACAGTCATGGGACCAAGATCTTATCATGTTCATAACCATCATAGATTAGGAGGATGAGGTATTTCCTAGATCATTTCCGGAAAATCCTGCCTTTCACACAAGGTAAAGGTTAAGGATAGAAAAGTTAAGGATTATGGAGATGTGCCTTGAAAAACACTTAAAAATATCTCATTTTATAATGCGCACTTCCATTTTCCACTCTTTGTTAGTGAAAGGTCTGCTAGATAAATTAATGCTAACCACAGCCAGTAGGATTCCACTTCAGCAGCTATAAATTCACAAGTCACTGCTCTCAATATTTTTCTCTTCATGGTATTTTTCTCAATACATCAAGGTTGCATTGGCCTGAAATTATATTCAACTTATCCTTATAATCTTGCTTCTTATATAAAGAGAAATGAAAAGCCATACTTGCTCCTTTTATTGGGAAGATTGGTGTCTTTCCAGTGAAACCACGGTCAGGATTATGAAGTGGGTTCAAATCAGACTAGAGCCGTGAAGGGAAGAAAGCTGTCCACAGCTTAGAGCTAGTGATCATTCTCTGCAGATGTGTTTAGACCTACTCTAAATCTCTGGAGAGAAGTGCAAGGGAGGGCCTCCAGATGCCCACGTAAGTGAAAGTTTCTGTGCAATCACACAACACTGAAACTAAGTTTTTTCTCCTGGTGAAATTAACCAAAGATTAAAGCTATAACTATAGATTCATGAGTTATACTCTATTCATTATTATTATTATTTTTTTTTTTTTTTTGAGTTTCGCTCTTGTTACCCAGGCTGGAGTGCAATGGCGCGATCTCGGCTCACCGCAACCTCCGCCTCCTGGGCTCAGGCAATTCTCCTGCCTCAGCCTCCTGAGTAGCTGGGATTACAGGCATGTGCCACCATGCCCAGCTAGTTTTTTGT